AGTTGTTGTTTTTTCTACTTTTCAGTAATTCATGATTTGTGAATTCGACAGTACCAATGCTGACACTGAAAATATTTCTTTAAAACACTATAAGTAGCTCGTTAAAAGACCATACCCCCCCCCCTTTCCTCCCCTCCCCCCCCCCCCCAACGTTTAAAATCGTTTCAAACTAAATTATCTGCCCCGTCACTAAACCCGACTCCACGAAGGTAAATATAGCGTGAACCACAGCTCACTAAGACCATGTAGGGGTGGGGATGGTAGGGAGCGCGTTTACAGTTTGTTTTCTAGCGTCTCCCAGAAGAGAATTATATATATATAGATAATTGCAATAGTAAAAAGAATTGCGCAATAAATGAACGCAATTAATGTGTGTTTTTAATAGGCTATAAAATTAGTAATGTATATAGGACAGGGGTCGGCAACCTTTTGAGACGGAACAGCCAAAAGTTACAATTTACAATATCTCCCAGTTTTTAAAGAGCCACTAACTTTTTTTTCAATATTTTGATATTTGATAAGAATTAGGTAACTTTGATTTATGATTTAAAATAAATAGCATTAAATATGAACTAATATTGATTCGTATAAAAACATACAAATGTTTCCCACAACAACTGCTTTAGCTAGCTCTGCTATGATAAAGTTAGTAATCAAATAATATATAACTATAGTAATATCCTAAACCACTTTAGAAGCCAATAACTTGTTTTTTACGGTCACCACTGGCTCAGGAGGTGTCTCCCATAGTCCGGCAGCCCTTAACACGACAAACTTCGACTAACTGGTTTAAATATCGGTTTGATAACAGTGTATAGGTAGCTTCTGTCCTATGGTTCTCACCAGGTTTATCTTCCACCCCACTGAACGCATGGTAAACTCGTACCCCACCGGCCCAACGGTAGAAAACTAATAACTAAGATACTACGTCATTCAGGTCAAATTAATGCATACGGACATGTAGAGGAATGCATTCTGAATAAAATAACATTCCCAGTTTAACGATATTCGAAAAAGGCGGCACGGACTGTGGCAAGCATTGAATTGTTGTCACGGGGCTGTCCATTGAACGACTGTGGGGCTGGGTCTGGTGCCCAAGCGGCTGACAGCTGTCCGTATACTTTCTGCCTCACCGAATTCCTCTGTTCTCCGATGAGTGTTTTTATCCTGTTTTTGCTAAATATTTATTTTTTCTTTACAGTATAATAATTTTATGAGTTTTGAAAAGGAAATAATATAATTATTGATATTTGCGCATGGAAATGGAGACCCGCACATTGACATCAAAAGAGGCCGCATGCGTCTGCGGACCCGTGATATAAGAGACTAATAAATTCTTCTAAAAAATTGATCAAGCATCCAATTAATTCAAATTAGCTGTCACTTTGTATTGTCATCGAGTTTTGACCCACGTACTAAGTTTAAAATAAATCAATCAGGTAGAATTCGTCGAAATTTAGATCCCAAGTTTCGATGTATGACGGGCGACAGACAGATGCACGACAGAGAAAGCAAATAATGAAAAACTTGTAAAAACAAATACGTTTTCCAAGAGAGACAATTCAAAACAAAATAGCTGAATTCAACAGAAATGTAAAAAAAGGGTATAACAAAATAAATAATATAGATTATTGTATTTTTAAATTACTTTTTGATAGGTAATTAAAATAATTTTTATAAATGTGACAAAATTTGATTTTTGTTGTATACACATATTAATGTTTTAAAAATTCTAATTAAAAGCAAAACACTTTAAATATAGAATAATGTCAGTATGGTCATCAAATATAACGAACACATGAATTCGATTGTTTCAAAATACATTTTAATACACATTGTTAATATTTCTAATTTTGTATTACATCTATATTTAAGTAAACCATCTTAAATAAATTAAAGTAGGCTACATGTAATGTAAGGAAAGAAGTATTACTAATGTAAATCTGTATCAGTCATCACAAGCCGATGGTGAAAACGGTAATATTAAAGCAAACATGCAAGGCAAACAGACGCTGTAAATTACATGTCGGAAGTGAAAAAAAAAATCCAATTAATTTCTCACTCTGTTTTATATTGTAACAAAATCCTAACAAATCTGTACAAACATTTAAGACTATTGTGATTAAATACGATCTTTATATTTCTGTTTTTCTAATTACCTTCATTTGAATTGTTGATCGACAAACCATTTGTTCATGTAATGATAATTTTTGTAATTGTTTTGAATTATGTTACAGACTAACGCATACACACACACACTTGTACATGTTGATGTACTTATTTATATTTGAAAAATAAAAGTTAAAAAAAAAATGTTTGGAAAACAATTGTTGGGGGGCTTCTGTAGATATAGATGTTTGAAAAGGAACAATGTTTGATTTGATGTGTCTCACTGTACTCAACATTTAATTCAGGCCTCCAATAGTATTTATATTATTTTTCTTAAATCCCAAATCTACATATAACCCAACCCCCAACCCACCACGCCGTAAAAAAAATAATTGAATTACCTTTAAATTACACATTTGCCTTTTCAGGTTTAAATAAAAAATTGTAATTAGACGTTTAGTATTAGATCTATGCATAAGTAAACCATATTAAATGAATGAAAGTAGGCTACAAGTAAGAAATGAGTTTTACTACTGCATAAATCTGTATCAGTCCTCACAAGCCGATGATGAAAACCGTAATGCTAAAGCGAACATGCAAGGCAAACTGAGGCAAAAAAAAAGGGGGGGGGGGGGTTACTGTGGTATAAAAGATCAATGACAAGGTTATTAATACATGTATAAAAATAAAATGCCATATATATTATAGAATAGTAAAATATAGCTTTCGACTAAGGGTCAACGAACAACAGTAAAACGTACATAATAGAAAAATCAAATATAATATTTTACAGTAAAACGTTTATAGTGATAAAAATAAAGTTTAATACTTTAGACTAGTGTAAAACGTATATAGTGGCAAAAATAAGATATACAATATTTTAAAGTAAAACGTTTATAGTGGTACAGAGGCGTAGCGAACCTTCCCTGCGCCCGGGGACAAACTTTCAATTTGGCGCCCCCTTAACTTTTCGATGTGCACCCCCCCCCCCTCTCAAACTGCAAAAATGCAGCTAAATTGACATTTTATTGATTTTTACAACCCATTTTGGCGCCCCCATAAGGTCGGCGCCCGGGGACATACGTCCCCCCCCTGCCCCCCCCCCTGCCCCCCCCCCCCCCCCCCCCATCGCTACGCCTGTAGTGATAAAACCAAGTTTAATACTTTACAGTAAAACGTAGGGGCCTAGATACTGGAAAAAAAATCTAATATACAATACTTTACAGTAAAACGTTGATAGTGGTAAAAATCAAGTTTAATTATAATAATACTAGCTGCATCCCGTGCTCCGCCACGGTAAATCTTTTTTAAATGTACCAACTTGGGAACAGAACAAAACTAAACACAACACAAACGAACGTAAAAAAAAAAAAAAAAAAAAAAGAAAAAACAAACACAACACTCATAACATAATTTAAATGCAATCATACAGGCATATTGCTCACAGTCTAGCCCGTAGCGCCAAATCGCGCCCTTTCCGGTGATTTGCACCCCCCCTCAAACTTTCGATTTGCACCCCTTCCCCCCCCCCCCCCCCCGCCCTAAAACTTTCGATTTCCACCACCCCCCCCCCCCCCTCGCAAATTTTTTAACCCACTTTGGCGCCCCCTAAGGTCGGCACCCGGGGACATATGCCCCCCTCGCTACGCCTCTCCTATAAAACCCGAAAGATAGAATAATAATTAGAAATCAGCATAAATAATAGGCAGTATTTAAAATATCCGTGTTTTACCTACAATATTTCACTTTATCCATTCATGCATTTTTTTCCAGTACTTTAAATTTTAAAAATTTACAATAGAGTTTCATAACTAAAACCATTGCGCACCTAATGAACGTGATGACGCGTCTATAATAGTGCTGAATAGTTGATTAAAAATTATAAGTAATAAACGGTAGGGCCTACATTCAGTGAATAAAATAAATAAAAGATTGCCTTTTATCAATCCATGCTAATTATAATTTTCTAACAATAATTTCCTCTTACACATCCGAATAATTTGCATTCACATTTTGCTAATTATATTATTGCAACACTAATTCCTTCTATGACGAACGTATATTTGCATTTACATTTTTTATTAGCGTGAGTTTAAATGTATTTTTAAATTACCTCCTTTGTCAAAATTAGAAAAGAGTTAAATTAATTTGATTTTTCTACCGTACTGTTATTATCTTATTAAAATGTATCCACTTTTTCTGGGAACCTAAACGAAAATGATATTTGACATTAATCTTTTTAATACGTTTTAGCAGTTTGCGTGTATTTAATATTTTCTTGACGTTATGCGAAAGAGTAAAAACCGTGGCAATTATAAAATAGCTCTATGCCGCTATATAAACAAACCGTACTCTATTACTTATAATAAGACACTGCGGTGCACTGAAAAGCACAGCATAGTGCGAATGTTTACTTTTATAGTCCCAAAATCTATAGCGATGACGGACGGAAGGAAGGAAGGAAGGACAGACACAGCCCGCTTATATTATAGATTATATTATAGATAATACTGTACATCTGAGCGAAAAGCTAAACAGCCCAATGAAACTGTAAATGTGCACCAGTCAACTTGATTTTGTGTCAAGGCCGTCACCCGCTCACATAAAAACACAAGTGACCCCCCCCCCCCCCCTCCCGGAGAAGAATGTCTGAAAGAAACAATGTATGTAAATTAAACCAGGACTCGAAGGAACTTTATTTTCGTGAATGTCTCGCGGTAAATTTGTAAATTTCTTATTATATCTTATCTATAGAACTTTGCTATAACAGGGGAAACTATCAAAACAACTTTCAAATAAATAAATGTGAGAAATAATAGAGTAGTGTCCCATTCATAGTGCTATAGCAACAATAAGTTAAAGAATGATGTATTATGGTGTAAACTTCCGGCGTCCATAGTTATTATGGTACGAATGGTGGAAAGCAAAATAATAATATATGACTTGGCCAAACTAATTACCCATTAGAACCTTGTAAGTTTTTATTAAATCAGTGGATGATATAAAACAGTATAGTGGATGTAAATTTGTTCACGATTAATATTTCTAATATTGTAGCTTACAAATACTTTTTCAAATTCTAGATCTAATCTAGATCTGATCTACTCGAGTAAAAAGAACTTAAAGTTTAAAGTTTAAAGAACTTAAATTTTAGAATCTAGACTTACTAGAGTTATAATTGAACACCTAGTTATAATATTATTAGAGTTAACTAGAGATACCATAAATACTATTACTAGGCAGTTCAATAGATAGACAGAGTCAGAGTACTACAGTACTCAGTAGCCTACTAGATAACTAGATTAGTAGTTACTAAGTTTGTTAGTAACAGTTAGTTACTAGTTAGCATGACTTACTAATAAATTACTTCACTTAGTTGTTAGGCCTAGAATCTATTAATTTGAAATTGATATTTGACAAATGCATTGTTATCTGCTAAACATCAGCAATTACAATTAACAATTTTTAAATTAAATTAATGTCATGGACAAAAAACATATTTTATTTTGACATGTTATTTTTTTATTTGAGCTTTTTAAAAATACTTAAAGTCAAAAAAAATATTTGAGGCAAGATTTCTGTTTAGAAGTTTAGATGGTTTACATTTGAACATCTAAGTGCATGTACTACACTGTGTAGCATTAAAAATAGTGTTTTTTTTTTTGTCATATAGGCCTATCCATTAAAATACAAACCTTGGTTACCTTTTACTATTTATTGTTTGATCAAGACCACAGTAGTCAATAACATGTGTTTAATACTTCAGGTCTACATGTACTTTTCTGGTAATTTTTAAAATTCATATCTTTTGAAATAATTTCTTTCAAGTTTTTAGTGGTTTAAAGTTAAACTCAGAAGTCTAAAGTAAAAGTGTTAACATTTAAAAAAAATTAACCAATTAATTTAAGATCCATGGCATTGTTAAACATGCATTTTAAAATAATGAAAGAACCAAAAATGTTTTAATTAGCTTAGTAAATAAATATATATATGATGAAGAATAGGTCTAAATATCATAATTATGAATTTTACCAATTATGACCATGTTCCATTTTACTGTACTAAAAAGTTTATTTAATTAATGTCTAAAATGCATTTATTTATTAATTTATGACTTAAAAAACCTTTTATATATCGTAATATTAATTATTACTGTCCTATACACTGAATTGATATTGTTGAATATAGTATTTTATCATTTTTAACTACTTGTCAATAACATAGCACATGTTTGTCCTATTAAAAAATAATTATTACATGATTTTCTACTGTTGTATGAATTTCAAGTCGTAGCTTAAAATATACTTTTTCCATTATGTACCTTTTCATTCAAATACTTGTTTTGCATCTACAGATATAAATAATATAGATTATACAATAGTATGAAATTGGAATTATTGTAAATCTGGTAAGTATTTAGTTATTTACTTTAAAAACTCCTCTAAATGTTGTAAATGTAGTTTCACAAAGTACTCTAGTTCTAGATAACATATTACTGCATGCTTAAATAACTCTGCATATTATAATAAAATTATTATTTTGGAAAATTCTAAAGCTAATTACTTCATCTTAACTTTGATTTAGAATAAGCCCCACAGTAGCTTATATTCAGGTATAATATTGACTTACCATATTTTATAATGGATAAGTAGTGAATAGCAAATTTATGAAAACAAATTAACATTTTAAAAAAGTTTGAATTTTTTAAGGTCATATCAGAAATGTATACACATCACATCATTTTTGCATAAATATTTTGTGAATATGTCAATTTTAAAAAAATGTTTACAAAAACGTTGAAAGGCTTTGAATTTTCTGCTAGTTCTACAAATTTATTGCATGTCTTCTAATTCTATTAAAGTTATTTATTGTAATTTGTAGCTTTAATAGCTTGAAATAGAATACAGGTGAGCTATTTTAATAAGAAGTAGAAATTTTAAAAATGTCCAATCATTTTGTTTCAGTTTGAGTAGAGCTCTTTGAAATCCAATCCATGTTATTTTGTAATTAAAAAAAAAACCATCAGTACATAGCCAAGATGACACAGAACAACCATAGGAGTAAAAAGTAAGTTAGACAAACCTATGAAAGTTAATTAACTGACAGTTTCTACTTTTCCTAAGTGCTCAATAACCTATGTAACCCTCTTATCTCTAGTTTTGTTGTTTTGTTTAAAAAACATCTTCTTTAGAGTAGATTTAGTTGTTAGAGGGTTAAGTATTTTACTTTCTGAATTGTAAACAGTTGCATGCCTTATTTTTTGTTGTCTTTGCCTAGTTAGAATTCTTGCAACTAATTTTGTTAAACACTTGAAGATTCCTTATTTATGATGTAGTTCTTGATTATTTCTTCTTGCCAAAGATGTGTAATGATTAAATATATTAGTTTTAATTATCTTGAAAGTTAAACAATAGAAAACCCACCAATTAAGTTTGTTTTTAAGTTTAGAAAGTTATTTGTTGTGTAGAATTGTGCAGTGTTTCTTCCAGACTTATTTCTCAGGGTCAGGGGGGGGGGGGGGGCACTTGAAATTTTCAGGACTACGGGGGGGGGGGGGGGCACGGGGGCGGACACTGTTAAAAGTATATATTTTTATATAAATTCCATTGTGTTCGACGGGGGGGGGGGGGGGGGGGGAAGCAGCTGGAAGAAACTCTGGAAATGTGTACAAGCTTATGATGCACTGGCTTGATAAAATGTTAGACAACAAGAGTTCACTATGAAAAAACCTTTTGTTAACAAATAGCTATCATAAGTAGGAAAACTTACTAGTTATATTTAAAAGAAATTTAAAAAATTTTTTAATGACTATTTTAGAAGTATAGATATCACCAAATAAACACCAAACATTTTTTCTGCAGCTCTATTGTTGCTGCCTTAAAGCAGTGGCATATTGACATGGCCAGGTTTCATTTACCATGAGCCACAATACACAGCAGACGTCCCAAACAAGTCATCAAGGCAAGATACATGCAGACAATCCTGAGCTTCTAAAGCTCATCACTGACAATAAATTAAACTCACATCAAAATAAGGTTACTCCACGCAAACTTGGCTCTTCGAAAGAAAAGTCAAAGAAGGTTGAAGGCAGTGAGCTCTTAAAATCAGGAGGTGATGAAACACTTGAGAAAAAAGTAAACAAAGCATCCAATCAGATCAATTCTGCTAATTTTGTGGGGCTCTCTGATGGTGGAGATACAAATATTAAATCTGTAAGGAATAACAAAAAAGAAAATTATAGTAGAAAGCAGGCACCCGCTCAAGTTAATAAAAAAGATAAACAGGAGAATAACACAGAAAAAACTTCTAAGCCAGAATCCTTTGAAAACAATAACACAGAAGGTTACAAGGATAAAAATTTAAGAAACAAAAATTTAAATTCTCTCTCAGAGAAGAAACAAATTGTTAAAGCTGATGAAGAACCAGACCAATATTATTTGTCTGATATCAACGAGTCTGATCGAGAAACTCTAGGCTCGGCAAGCTCAGAACTCGCTTTGTTACGCAGTCCGTCCCGGGGGTCGTTAAACGCAGGGTTTGAGAGTAGCCCAGTCGCAACATCACCTGTCAGGTACCCGACACCAGATGGCGACTCCTCTGACACGGATACTGTAGTGGATGAGCCTGTAGCACATCCATCTCCACCTGTTACTAATCCTTATTCTAATCCACAAAATTCTGAATCACCCAAATCAAAAGTAGGTAATTCAGGACAAAATTCTGATAAAGATTTCTATGAGGCTCACCAAGCAGGAAGCTCTCAAGATTCCCCTGTTAAAGCTCCTTCCCCACCCTCCCCAGTAGCTGTAGACGCCAATCTTCTGAAAAATAAAACAAACCCAATTCACAGTCAGTCCCCAAGGGGAACATCTCCCAGAACATCAGCTCCTGCAGTCAAGCTTACACCCACAACCAACTTATCAACATCTTTAACACACGCCCTCCTCCACCACCCTGATCCTCTGCCTCAACAAAGTAGTTCCTACCCGTATTCATCACACAGACTCAAATCTATCGGCACCGCTGCTAAGCGTGCTGATGAATCTGTTGATTTCCAGACTGACAGTCTTGAATTTGAAAGAGACAGTCTTGAAATTAAACCAGAGACAGACTTGAATGAAGGGAACAACAGAGAAAAAGGGGTAGAAGAATCAAGGACTGATTGGAATCTTCAGGAAAATATTCTTGATGATTCCAAAACACCAGCCGACTCACTTGAAGAGCATGGAGATTCTGATTCCAAGGTCAAGGTTAACGAAGCTGATGTAACCTCAAATCAAAGAAACAATTTTATTGGATTTTCACCCCATTCAAGGGGAAACCATCATAGTCCTGAGTTTCCTTTGCAGGGAGAGAACTCCGATCACCTCAGTGATTTGTCTGTGAGCAAGCAAGAGAACTATTTGTTTGGTCCAGCCTTTGATCAAGCCTTGCCTGTCTTCCAGAACCAGAACAGCAACAGCCACTTGTACCAACCAACCTCTGGGCTCTCAGCTAAAAGTGCTTTGGTCAACCCATCTTCTCCGGTCAACCCATCTTCTCCGTCCAACCCACCCAAGTTAACAGAGCAACCGGCTCAAAAAGCCATTTTTGTTCTCAAAACCGGTAATTCCAGGCAGTCGTCTGTTCTTGGCACCGGCCGATCTTCAGAGTCTCAACCACCAGGTCCAGAAAACCCATCAGCTACGGCGTCCATGCCAGGTATTCCCATTAGAAAAGCTTCTTCCTCTCACAGAGTCTACGCGACATCCCCAACTTTTTCTGAAGAAGAGTTCCGGCTTGTGAATAGCCGTTTGGAGGGGGTGGAGGGGGAGAAGCTAGACACCTACAGAGAGCTGGACATGGCTGCCATCAAGAGGCAAGAAAACCACGCCCTGATTGGCGGTCCGAAAAATGTGACGTACGGCGGGGTCGGAAGGTACGAGAGTAGAGAGGATACGGTTGGTTACGGGAGGAGTGAGGACAACGAATGGGGGCCGTCAAATAACATTCCGTCTAACCCGTACGGATTAAAAATGGCTGAAGTTGAAGACAGGAGAGACTCATTGAGAATGCCCGGGTCTCCCCCATCTCTGAACACATACGGGGGCGACTCTCCGATCCACCAACAACCCAGCACTCACAACACACCTCACCAGGGAAGGATTATCATAAACAACCCTCATCACTTACAAGATTCCGGACCCCAGCGAAACCCGTCATCCGTAAACCACCCACAGCAACCCGTACCGTCACAGAATCAACTGCAGCCACCACAAGGGGTCACCCGGGTCAGGGGGATATCTCTGCCTACAGGACCATCGTATGACCCAGCGGATGAAGAGGACCTGCTGAGAGAGAAGTCCTACCAGCACGGTAAATATTTTTAAAATTTTTAGCCAGATTTAAATACACTATAGAGATCAGTGTAGCGTTATTATAGTTGGAATAGATGGTACTGTTTGTGTGTGAATATTTTTAGCGCAATTTCTATATGGACAATTGCGATTATTAACTTGTTCTGGATGGATGTGTGTCCGATGTGTGTCGCAGCTTTAAGTCATATCTCCTCCTCAATGAAGCAATATCAAGGACTAGTTCCAAAAGCAAATATGTTAAGCAAGTTCCGAGGATGATTGTGGGCCAAAAAAATTCCCGGAATTCATTCCTGGATTTCCCGGAAAAGCCAAAAAAACTTTGAAAAAATGCAGTTTTTGGCCCATTTCTCGGCAACCAGATCACTTAGCGACTTGAAACATTTACCAATCGATTCCTGGCATAATTTAGAACAATATTGCTGAAGAAAGTTTTCAAAAATATCCTTTCGTTCGGTCACAAAAAATTAATTAAGGAAATTGTACTTAAATTGTCACTAGACTTTTTATTAACTTGTTTTATTGTTAGCCAGATTTAAGTACACTATAGAGATCAGTTTAGAGTTATGATAGTTGGAATAGATGGTACTGTTTGTGTGTGAATATTTTTTGTTAGCGAGATTTAAGAACACTATAGAGGTCAATTTAGAGTTATGATAGTTGGAATAGATGGTAGTGTTTGTTTCCTGTTTATAGTTCGTTCTCTACATCTCCTGTCTAATAGCTTAAGAGTAATGAATGCACATGATTTCAAACACATCATAACAAACTTTACCATTCAGTATAGACATCAACTCCCACATTCTCTAAAAATAACATCTGATTATAATACAAGTAAACTAATAACTCAATCTTTTTAAACTTATGGCACACAATGCAGGTGAGGTAGAGTTCACCTGTTTCATTGGCCTCGGAATATGAAGGAATAGTGTTCTTTTACTTTCTCCAATGTGAGTCAGGTATTCATCAGAGCTGGGTGAACTCAGGGACGTGCTACAGACTTGATCCTAGCATCGAAGCTTTAAGATTAGCAGTCAAACTCTCTACCTTTTGACCATGCTGTTCCATATTTTCATATAAAAGCTACACAGTAAATTGTATCAAAGTCTCCTAGCAACAAAATTATCTCAAAGTAAACCTGTTTATCTGGCTAGGTGTTTCATCTTAAATCTGCCTCAAAGAGCTATTCACATAACTTCGATATTGATCTTATGTTATATGCCAATTATTAAATGCTAATTATAAAAAGATAATGCCTTGAACAAGTAAACATCTATTCATTTAAAAAAAAATAATTGCTTGCTGGTTAAAAATTCCTCACCCTCTTAACAGCTAATATCCCCTGAACCAGTGGCGTAGCGAGGTCGGGTGTCACTTGGTACGGTACTTAATGGTGTCACCCCCCCTTCCCCCAGAGGCGTAGTGACTTTTCCCGGGGACAAACTTTCAATTTTCGATTTGCAACCCCCTCCCTCAAACTTTCGATTTGCACCCCCCTCAAATTTTTCTCTATATATTTTACTATTTTTTGCCTTGGTGTCACCCCCCTAAATGGTGTCACCCGGTGCGGTCCGCACCCCCCCCCCTCGCTATGCCTCTGCCCTGAACATTGCAGTTTTTTAAGATTACCTAGATGCATGGTTCAAATTACTGTAAATACAAATGTTACGATTCCCATTGTGCATCTAATGATTGCATTTGTATAATATTGATATGTAATTGCATATGTGGCCTCATCACTGGTGACTTTTTCTCCAGATTTAACTACAATTTTTCTGAACTCTTTTTCTTTAATGTTTATATTAAGTCACCAGCCCCTTTAGTGGTAGTTAATGAAATACCATGTGCCTAAAAGATTTTAATTTAACTCCATAAAAATATTAACCATTTTTCTAGAAATCTATTTTTCTAGGAAGTTTTTTTTTTATTGTTTGTGTGGATCAATATTTCATTCCTTCCATCTGCTATGTTTCTTTGAACTAATTTTTCAACGAAGACTATCTAATTCCTTCTGGCTTAAATAATGGCTAATCATTATTTGAGCAATGGCTTTTCCAGTGGTTATATAACTTGGGTTTGATCAAACCCCAGGGGTTTGGTGTCAGTCTCAGGGGTTCGGTAAAGGTCAAGACACATACGACAATAGAACTATATGAAGGGTTCAGTAAATGCAAATGAAACTCAAACCCAAAAAACATTAACTGGGCTAATCCTTATTTGATATATGCCTAAACATTATTGAAGAGACAATAAACAGATTCAAAAACATAAGCAAAGTTCCTGTTTCAAATCTAACTATCCATAAGGCAGATTTAGTAGAGTCAATATGTTTCTTGACCTTGTGATATGGAGGGATCAGAGGCGTAGCGACCCTTCCCGGCACCTGGGGACAAACTTTTTGATTTGCACCCCCCCTCAAGATTTCGATTTGCACCCCCCCCTCAAACTTTCGATTTCCATCCCCCCTCAACCTTTCAATTTATTTTTCCAACCCATTTTGGCGCCCCCTAATGTCGGCGCCCGGGGACATATGTCCCTCCCCACCCCCCCTCGCTACGCTACTGGGAGGGATGGTGTGATCAGCACTATGCCCACCTCTGACATAATAACTAAAAACATCTTCAGTAAAACATTTGAATAATATCCTCTTAAGCTTGTTGCCAAACTTGTGTTATTATATTTTTTTAAATGCAGTATCAAATAATTTTACCAAAAATTTTTAAACAACTTACCTTTTCTCAATGGCGGCAGTACTATTTCAAAATACCTGTTTTATAAAGTTGCTTTCTAACAAAGTCAATTCTTTTCAATACAAATGTTAGCAATTTAAATAAAAACAAACTCAAATTTAAGAATATAAAAATGTGTTACATAATATGTGCTCACCATAATTTGATGGACGACTGAACACATTTAAAAATCCTGGTGAGAAATTTAGTCTTCCTCTTTCAGTGATTCAGTCTAAACAAAAAATGCTCACCATAATTTGACAATTGGCTGCTTACATTTAAAAATCCTGGTATAAAATTTAGTCTTCCTCTTTTAGTCTAGACAAAAATTGCTCACCATAATTTGACCGATGGCTAAACAGATTTAGTAATAAACTTGTTTCACTGAGATGTACAAAAAAATAAAACTATGTTGTTGAATTACTATTGGACTACCATTAGATTCACTACTATGCTAGCACTGAACTGAACAACATTGAGCACATATTACTCTGATATATAAATCTGTTGAGAAAGCTTATCTGGCAAGTTTCTGGTGCATGTTGTTTGCATGTTTCCATTATCTGTTGCGCCTAATTGAGTTACCTGATATAACCCAGGGCAATTTCTGTCACCTCATATCACCTGAATAGGCTCTGTTCAATTTTTATGAGGTTACAATTCTAGTATTGGTCACACAAAAAACAACAACATGTATTGGTTAATTTTCTTTACTGATTAACTTTAAATTACAATTATGTTAAAATTAAGGCGTAATAATTTTAAAAGAATTTTTTTAATTCTTCAATTCAAATTATAAATACTGGCAAAACAAAAATACTTTAATTTAAAAAAAACATATAAGGTGAAAGTTAAATGTAGCACCATACTGTACTACATGAGTGCAGCATATTGTACTACATGAGGACATCATATTGTACTATGTGAGTACACCATATTCTACTATGTGAGTACACCCTATTGTACTATGTGGGTACACCATATTGTACTAAATTAGTACACCATATTGTACAACATTAGTATATTAAATTGTACTATATGGGGACATCATATTGTACTATGTGAGTACACCATATTGTATTACAGTAGAACAGTTCCCTACCTGCTTACACAGAAATCAGAAAAACTACTACATGCTTCTACAGAAAAACTACTATATATTATATAATCTAAAATATGTACACACAAAAACTGCTACCACCACCCTACACAGAAAAACTACACTATTATCCTACACGCAGGGCTGGCTTAGTAGGGCAGGAGAGCACATGTTTGTGAGCTCAAAATTTCCTGCATTTGGATCTCCCTGCAGATGAGGCTCCGCTAGGGACAGTGATCCATCTAGGACAGGGGTCGGCAACCTTTTTAGAAGGAAGAGCCAAAAGTTACAATATTTTACAAAATTACCCAGTTTTTAAAGAGCCAATAACAATATTTCTTTAAAATTATGATAGTTTATTAGGATTTGTTAAATAATTTTAAAATAAATAGGTTTGAGTATGAAATAATATTTATTCATATAAAAACATTCACATGTATCAAATTACATAAGTTTAGCACTATTCCTACCCAATTACAAGCTAATAAATAAAAAACTATCTCACTCAAGTAAAAATTAATGCACATTGACACATACAAAAATGCCTTCTGAATAAAATAACCTTTACTATTGAAAATATTCGAAAAAAAAATTTTAAATGTGCACTTCGGTAGTAGAAAGCATGGAACTACTGCCACGGGGCTGGCCACATCACAGTTGTTGAGCTTTGCCTTGTGCCCAACAGCTGTCAGCTGTCTGTATACGCTCTACTCCATCAATTCTTAGTGTTTTAATCTTGTTTAAAGTTGTTTTTTACAGTATACTATTTTATGAGTTATGAAAATAAAATAATATAATAGTTATGGAGCTGGGGAGAAGCATCCAGACATCAAAAGAGTCGAAGTGTAACAATTAAAAGCATAGATAAAATAAATAGGCTTATGATATAATTTCAGTAGGCAAACCCAGCAACTCTATTAAAATTAAGATTTTAAGTTTTAGTAATATTCCAAACTGAATGTTAGAAAAAGTGGTGAAAGATAAACTATAAGATTTTTGTTATCACAATTAATAACCGAAATTGGGATATCCCAAAAGCTATTTCAATGTGTTTCCCTGATGAGAAAGATTATTCATACTATTTTGCATATTTTCAGCTTTGGGGAATTAATGAAAGAAATGCTAAAATGTGTTTGCTACGAAATTTGATCTTTGTAGTTGAATTACTTCCCTTGCAATCAGACACTAAATTGGGTTATGTCCCATATAGATTGGCACACAATTGTGTTCTGTATCTATTGTCATTCTTTCATTGGTGCATTCCCCACAGGTTGATTGTTAATAAATCCTCCCTTATCAGTCTAGCTAAACCGTTGGTGTAATCTTATAAACCGTGTTATTTCTTAGTTACAAGCAAAACCATTTCTTTTTGTGGTAGCTAAAATCAATTTCATTTTCAATCACTGCATATCCACATATCGCACTAATGTGAGGTGTGATAGTTAATATTTCATGCCTGGTAAGTTTTTTACATTTTTGAAAAATAAATTTTCTGCATTGATATGAGTCGTTCCAGAAGTTAATGTCAAATTTATTTGACTTTAAAATATTGACCAAAAAGATGAACTTGAACACATTTTATAAAATGAATAATATAATGAAATATAAGTATAATGTATAGTCATACTCTAGTTAAACAGCTCAATTATGCAGTTTCCCCCTATAAGCCCCTACCCCCCCCCCCCCCCGACACTCCACACCACTCCCTATTGTCACAAATTGTTACAGAAAGCCATGGGTGTCACAAAAAGCCATGCATATCATAAAAAGCCATAGATGACTCCAAATGACATGGATGTTACAAAATGCCATGGGTGTCACAAAAAAGCCATGCATATCATAAAAAGCCATAGGTGACTCCAAATGACATGGATGTTACAAAATGCAATGGGTGTTACAAATACCCATGGGTGTCACAAAAAGCCATCGACATTACAAAAAAAACCAAAGGTTTCAGATACAGCATTCAGAATAAACACTTGCTATCAGTGTTTCTTCCAGATTTTTTTCTCAGGGGGGGGCACTTGAAATTTTCGGGGGGCGGTAGACTTTCTTTGGGGGGCGTACACTGTTAAAAGTATATATAAAATCTATATAAATTATATAAATTTCATTTCGTTCGGGGGGGGGGGGGGAATAAAAATTTTTTGGCGGGGGGGGGGGGGAGGGGGGCTTTCCCTTGAAGAGATGCCTGGAAGAAACTCTGCTTGCTATTCCTCTACTATTTTCTATACAGCAGCTACATCCTGTCATTTCTACTGGCTTTCACCTTTAAGGCATAATACTTCAAGCTGTACTATAATTTTCATGAATGTGTTATAAACTGACTCCTCGCATACCTAGATTAAAACAGTAACATCACCAATTACAACAGATTTTGTAAATTTTGTAAAGTTTGAGATCTGTAAAAGAAGATGGTTTTTATATAAGCCTGTAAATAAGATTTAATTTTTTGTTTAGCTTGTATATCAATTAATGTGGTTTTTAGAATTGCTGTCTCTTTAAAAAAAAACTTTTATATTTTTCTATGTATATTTAACCACCATTAGTTTGTTTTTAGTTTTTGCCTTGCACAAAAGTTTAAAAATCAGTTTTTATTAAAATAAGAATAGTTTTTCAAACTTTTAATATATATTTAAAAAAATTATATTTGGCCTAACATTTGGCTATTTGAAAATAAAACGAATTATCTGGCTATTTAAAAGTTAAAACAAGTTATCTGGCTATTTAAAAGTTAAAACAAGTTATCTGGCTATTTAAAAGTTAAAACAAATTATCTGGCTATTTAAAAGTAAAAATGTGGTATCACTTTCCCCAGGGTTACGCATGCGTATCGATGACGGCATTAAGAAGGTGGAGAAAGTGGAGGTACCCAAACTTCCACTACACCAAGGTCAGTACGACTCGCAGGATTACGTCCAAGACTCGTTAGACTATGGATCCGTTGACGAAACAGCCAGGGCTTTTGTTGAGGCCTTCCAGCCAGAACCAATGGACACTACAGACAGACACCAGCCCCAGGAACAGTTCCGGAACCCGCCGCCACTACCCAAAGACTTATCCGGATACAGACAGCAGTTTAATAACGGACATTTGAGTAACGTAAACTTCGACAGTGAAGACTACACGGAGTATGAAGACGTCAGGAACCATCATCTCAATCCGAAAGTCCAGCAGCGGTTTTATAACCCGCAGTACGACAACCAACCGGGCGCTAGTACGGTTAATAGTGGACGTTATGTCGAAATGGAGGACAGCACCAGCCGTAGTGACATGAGCAGCTTGCCACCACAGAAACAGCCGGTGAGGAGTAAACCTCCCCAACCCCCCATGGAGGCTGTTCATCCTACCCCACCCAAGTACGACTATGTGAACAACAACAAGGAAGATCTAGGCAAGCCTCCACCAAAGAGCTACAAGCACATTCACGAAGTGACCAAAGAAGAGAAGGAGAAGCTAAATGAGATTTTTATCCACCCCAAGCCTAAGCCGAAGGCAGGGATTCTCAAGAAGAAAGGCCAGGATAGCCACAGAGGTCCCCAGCCGAATGAGGTTGAGCAGTATGATGATGAGAATGATGAGAAGCTAAGCACTGCAGAACAGGTAAACCTTTTAACTTTATTATTCTTATACTTTTGTATTCATATAAGTATAGACAAAGCAGGTAGAATGTTGTTGGCCCAACTTGAAGGAGCAGTTCAAAACTTAATAGATAGAGAGGTGTGGTTGTGTCTATATGCTACAGAAAGGGTCTACAGGGATGAAGATGATGAGGTATAGACAAAATTAATTGAACATGTTATAACCATAGATCACCTCTGGACCTTTCAAACAAGATTTTCTAATGCATGATGGGGAGTTTGGAAAACCCTGACAGAAACAAAGAGGGTTAAGTATCTAGTGACAAGAATGTTTGATCTATTTGATTCTATATCCTGGTGGTAACAAAAGTGTTAAAGTATCTAGTCACAAGAATGTTAGATCTATTTGATTCTATATCCTTATGGAAACAAAAGGGTTAAAATACCTAGCAGCAAAAATGTTAGATCTACTTGATTCTATATCCTGGTGGTAACAAAATGGTTAAAATACCTAGCAGCAAAAATGTTAGATCTACTTGATTCTATATTCTTGTGGTAACAAAAGTGTTAAAGTATCTAGTCACAGGGATGGTAGATCTACTTGATTCTATATCCTGGTGGTAACAAAAGGATTAAAGTATCTAGAAGCAGGGATGGTAGATCTACTTGATTCTATATCCTGGTGGTAACAAAAGGATTAAAGTATCTAGTCACAGGGATGGTAGATCTACTTGATTCTATATCCTGGTGGTAACAAAAGGATTAAAGTATCTAGAAGCAGGGATGGTAGATCTACTTGATTCTATATCCTGGCAGAAACAAAAGGGTTTAAATAGCTAGCACCAAGCATGGTAGATCTACTTGTTTCTATATCCTGGTGGTAACAAAAGGGTTAAAGTATGTAGCAGCAAGGATGGTAGATCTATTTAATTCTATATCTTGGTGGTAACAAAGGGGTTAAAGTATCTCGCAGCAGGGATGGTAGATCTACTTGTTTCTATATCTTGGTGGAAACAAAAGGGTTAAGTAGCAGGGACAGTATTTCTACTTGATTCCATGTCCTCTTGCAATCAACTTTCCTTAAGATCATTGCTATTGCTTATTCTTATATAAATGAAAAGACTGATAAAATTATGCTGTGAAATTATCCTAACAAATCAATGTAGATCTATGATTCCTAGATTATTTGAACACCTTTTGTAAAGAGATAAAATTGTCATCAGGTTTGGGCACAAAGATCAGCAACTCTAGCCAAAAAATTTGATGGTAAAAACAGAGGTAGAGGCAGGGGTAGAGGTGGCTCTAGCAAGCTACAGAAATATAGCAGTGATTCCTCTTTATATCAGGTAGACCTTATCTTTATAGTTGTATTGTTCTGTTCAAGGTTGCCAGTCTGTGTTTTTTAAAGACCTTGTTGTTTGAAGGCAATAAATACCAACTAGTGATAAAATGTTACTATTTTAACTGCTGTATTGTCAATGAGCAGCTCATAAATTTTTTTATAACTTTTGGTTTAAGCCTATATTCAGAGTATTTGTTTTTAAAATGGATTTTAATAATTGAAAAATGCTTTTTAAAATGACTCAACTTTAAGTAAAATGTATATAATTTTAAACATAATTAAATTATAAATCCCAAAAGTAAATCTTCAAATTTTTTTATTTTTATCATTAAGTAATGCACTTTTGAAACACAGTAATTTATTTGTGTTAGAATTGTTGATTTCATTTTCTGCTGACTTTCTCTGTTAGCCAAGATCCAGTTCACAACAAACATTACCTCCTGACAGAAGAGCTTTCCTCACTGAGATGCCTACACCTCCAAGCAATCAGAGCCCATTTCACACCCAGGTCAGTTCTAATCAGACTTTAAGAAAGTTCACAAAAAAATCTAAGTAAGGACAACTATAAATACTATTCATTTCAAACATTAATATTCAAAATAATTTAATTTTAATTTTTTATTTTTCTACTAATCATTACATGCATCCTATACTAACATTTATATTTGATGCAAGTGCATTACTACTAAAAAATTTAATACATGATAATTATTTGCCTTTTTTCTAATATTTCCCAAAATATTTGCCATTATTTTTCTTAGGGTCATAAATTTATACTTAATTATTTTATACAATATTATAACCACTAGTAACATCTTTTTACATTTGGTTAACGCACCATTATTTTAATAAATGAATTTTTTGAGTAATTATTATAGTCTTTAAAAAAACTATGTTGGTTAAATTCTTCATTTATTGATTTTCTTACTTTTATTTATTGAATAGATAAATCCAAAAAAACTATTTTTACATATTACATAAGTAATGCATAGTTCTTTATTTAGTAAAACTTCAGAGTAATAATACATGTTCATATTGATTAGAATGATTACATTATTGAGTTTCTAAAATAAAATTAAATGGTTAGTTAAATAACGCACTTGTTAATTATTTAGGTATCAGTCCCTGTATCGCCGCGACATACGGATATCCAGATTCTCCCAGTGTCCTCTCATGTGGTACTAGAAGATGGACAGCGGATTAGTGTGGATGTGAACTTGAAGCTTATCTCCCCCACCCACCAGTACCAGCCCCACGGCTACCAGGAGCCTGCCCCCCATGGCTACCCACCACACTATGGTGGGGGTCAAGGTCGACAGTACCCGGCAGTCAAGCACTACGACGAGGACATCTCAGGCAACAATGTTAGGGCTCTGGTAAGTTTTAGTTGTTGGTAGTTAGTTGGTAAGTTTTAGTTCTTGGTAGTCGGTAAGTTTTAGTTCTTGGTAGTTGGTAAGTTTTAGTTCTTGGTAGTTAGTTGTTAAGTTTTAGTTGTTGGTAGTTGGTAAGTTTTAGTTCTTGATAGTTGGTAAGTTTTAGTTCTTGGTAGTTAGTTGGTAAATTTTAGTTCTTGGTAGTTAGTTGGTAAGTTTTAGTTATTGGTAGTTAGTATGTTTTAGTTCTTGGCAGTTAGTTGGTAAGTTTTAGTCCTTGGTAGTTGGTAAGTTTTAGTTCTTGGTAGTTGGTAAGTTTTAGTTCTTGGTAGTTAGTTGGTAAGTTTTAGTCCTTGGTAGTTGGTAAGTTTTAGTTCTTGGTAGTTGGTAAGTTTTAGTTCTTGGTAGTTAGTTGGTAAGTTTTAGTTCTTGATAGTTGGTAAGTTTTAGTTCTTGGTAGTTAGTTGGTAAATTTTAGTTCTTGGTAGTTAGTTGGTAAGTTTTAGTTCTTGGTAGTTAGTTGGTAAGTTCAGGGAGGCAGGGTAACAAATTTGGCAAGTTTAGTTGTTGGAATCTTGTTTTTGGATAGCTGTAGTGTTTGTGTTATAGTTGCAACTGCTCAAAAGCTGCAACTGGAATGTTTTTGGAATGTAGTTGTTGAAATGTTGTAGTTGTTAAATATGTTCAAAGTTGTAGTTGCTTGTTAAATGATAATGCTGTAGTTGTTAAACTGTTGCAATATTTCTAAGTGTTTTCATGTAGTTCGGATGTTGTTATGTTACATTTTCTAACTGTTGGAATGTTATTGTATTGAGGGTTTTAATATATATAAATGATGTTTTATTTTACATTTTAATATCATTTAACATAATCACATGTAGTAAAAAAAAGAATTTTTTTTGGTTATTGATTCCATTCAAAGCCTTGTAAAAGATTAGTTTGAAGCCTTGTACACAGCCTAGTTTAGCCTTATAAAAATTTAAATGTAACAGAATAGCTGTATTGTTAGGTGGTATTAAAGCTGAAATCATAACTCAATAAAAGAAGACGCGAGAAAAAATGTAGAATTATAAAATTTTCACAAATGTTTGAAATAACAAATAGCATACTGTTATAGTGAGAAATTAAATTTTATACAATTTTTTTTTATAATCAAATGTTATAGTTTTTAACTAAATGTTCTACAATTTTTAAATGCACCTGTATTTAAATAAATGTTATACAGCTTTCGATTTTATTTTGTACAGTATTTAAATTGAATGGCCAGTTTTCAATTCAATAGTTTGTAGTTAAAAAACTACTTTAGAATCTCTGAATGAAACCTTATGAAAAGGAACTGGAAAAAAGGGCAACTACTCTACAGACATTAACTCCCCTTTAAACCCTATGTACATTATTTACATAGAGGCAATTATGTGCTTAGAATTATGGAACCTAACATTTCCTTATTGTTTTACTGGCCTTATCAATGAAACACGTATGTTATTGATTTATTGATCACTGTAAATCAATCACTTAACCGCTTGCTGTGACAGTTGTAGCACATAGGAAAAATTTCTTTGATGCCTGTTTTGGGTTTTGTTTCCATGGCTCTTTAATCTTTGAATATCTGCCTCACCTGTCATGCAAACTTAAGTGAATATTTTCTTTGAACTTGAGTTGTTATACATCAATAAACAGTAATGCTGGGATGAAATTCATTTAAATATATTGGCATTGCTATTGATTTATTGATAGTATCAAAAAGCCTTAACAATGAATAATTTACATAAAAACTAATAGTTAAAAATTTATTCAGACAGTTAAAAAATTTTCCCTTAAAATAAATCAACTAATTGATTTATGAGAGAAATGAAAGACAAAGAAATAAAATGTGTGACATTTTTTTATAAACACAGCGCGAGTATAAATATTTGTTTTACCAGCGGGGAAAATTTGCACACTTGTTAACACAGGTAGGGGTGGTGGGGGTGAGGCTCAAAGAATGTATTGAACAGGTTATTGATTGGATTCCAGAAGGCAAGGCAGGCTTTGTGTTCCTGCCTAGCTGACTCCAATAGCCTGGGTGGGCCTTAAACCTTCTGGGGTCAAGGAGGTGTGTCACATTTCATTACCTGAGGCTTTCAACATTTGTAACTTGAATTCTGTAAAAGAAATTTTAAAAAAGTTTATTTTAAAGTACAAATTGAAATACATATTACTTATTTATGATGACCTTTACAAAAAAAATTTAAATAAGAAGTATGTACGCCCTACAAAATTAAAAGTAGAATAAAAATAAAATACTTTAGCAATGTTTTATTAATAAATATCTGATTGCTGTTGTTTTGTGTAAATAACAAACGTTTTTGCCTAAATCATAAATATTTCTTGCAAAACGTCATTATTTTTATGTAAATCATAAATATTTTTGTGTAAATGGCACCTTTGATTAGACTTAACTTGAAGGCATTTATAACCACATTGAATCGTTGTTATGATTTCCTGAAACTTTGCCAGAATTTTATCATAGGTCAATCAAATGTCCTACTAACCTTTTTAGATTTTGAAACTCTAACTCAGTGTTGATTGCCAAATTATTATGGTACATTATCCACTTCATAGACTGTTCATTATTTACTTCCTTCAAGATGTAAACAATGTTAACTGGGTAGAGATTGAAGCACTGAATGGGTTAAACAAGTAGAGGAATTTTTAACTCAGATGCAATAGATTTGAGAACTATGCTACACAGTAGCATAGCGGGGGGTACATATGTCCTTGGGCGCTGACCTTAGGGGGCGCCAAAATGGGTTGGGAAAATAAATTGAAAGGTTGAGGGGGGGTGCAAATTGAAAGTTTGAGTGGGGGGTGCAAATTGAAATCTTGAGGGAGGGGTGCAAATCGAAATCTTGAGGGGGGGTGCAAATCGAAAAGTTTGTCCCCGGGCGCTGGGAAGGGTCGCTACGCCTCTGATGATACAACAAAGTGTATAATTTAGACTTCATGGAGTGATTTAAAAAGTTTAATTCATAGGAACCCATTCTCAACATCTTTTAGAAAAGAAAATATAACCATGGAGTAGAAGATTTTAGAATGATCACCATACAGTTACCCTACGTGTATGGATAGTGATTAGATATCTAACACTCATATAAAATAGAAATATCATGAACATAATATTTTTTTAAATAAACAGGATTTGAACTCTGTCAGCTTTAAATTAAGGCTCTGTTAAAAAAAAAACCAACAAATATTAAGGTTTGGTAAAAAAAAAAAATAATATTAAGGCTTAATTAAAAAAATATATTAAGGTTTGGTTAAGAAAGCATTAATTAAGGCTTGGTAAAAAAAAAACACCAAATATTAAGGGTACGTAAAAAAATATTATGGCTTGTTAAAAAAATCTAATAATTAAGGCTTGTTAAAAAAACAACAGTAGTTAATTCAGCTCTAATGTGATTGACCTCATTTTGAGTTTAAGCAGACAACATTAGTGTTGATCAAGGATTCAACCTTGACCTAACTGACGATTGACCTAAATTGTAATTTTAGCCTCACAAATGTTCACAATGTATTTTGAAGTTTTGTTATTGATCTAGATACTAAGCCAAGCTTTGAGAAATTTTAGCTTTGGTTGTAGATCTGGCTTTGTCTCTGATCTTTTAATGCACATTTTTATTCAACTACGACTGAGCTTTTAATACACCTTAATATTATAAAATGTATGATCTGCTTCTTTAAGTGTTAAACATTGCTGATATTGTTTATCAGCTACAAGTCAGCATTTAATATCTAACTTACGGGAATATCACCACTCTTATTTTAACCTTTAACCTATATGTGTATTATCCCCCCTTATTATAACATTTAACCTTGTTCCAAAATGTATGAACGGCTTCTCCACGTGATAAACATTCCTGCATGTGATATCTAACTTAACTTACAGGAATATCATCACCCTGTTTAAGCTTTAACCCCTAACCTACAGGAATATCACCACTCTTATTATATAACCTTTAACCTAAACTGGTATCAGCACCTTGTTTAACCTAACCTTTAAACCTAAAGGGGTATTAGCACCTTGTTTAGCCTTTAACTTCTAAACTACAGGAGTATCACCACCCTGATTTTAACCTATGACCAACATCTTATTTTTACCTTTAACCAACACCCTCATTTTAACCCTTAACCTACAGAGGCATTAGCACCTTGTTTAACCTTTAACCTCTAACCTACAGGAGTATCACCACCTTTATTTTAATTTCTAACCACTCTAATTTTAACCTTTACGGGTATTACCACCCTTATTATAACCTTTAACCTACACTGTAAATAGCACCTTGTTTAACCTTTAACCTCTAACCTACAGGAGTATCACCACCCTTATAACCTTTAACCTACACTGGTATTAGCACCTTGTTTAACCTTTAACCTCTAATCTACAGGAGTATCACCACCCAGACTACAATGCCGAGGACCTGAAGTACGTGTCCCCAAGAGAACGTTACTCTGCGGATGAAGCCTTACGGATGATGAGTGAATCACGTACAGACATCAACCCGTATGGGAAGATTCCTCCCATAGTGAAGAGCTCTGAGGGCATTCACCCATCATCCGCCCCTTTACCTGACCAGGTATGGGAAAAATATTTATATTTTTAGTTCAAGAAACTAGACTTTAAGTAACTAACCATTAAGCAACAAGACTTAAAGTAATTAAACTTGTAACTAAGGGGTCATCCATAAATGACGTCACACTCATAGGGGGGAGGGGGGTCCGTAATTTTGTGACGATATGTTTTGAGGGGGAGGGGGGGGGGGCGTTCAGATGTTAGACGTCACAAATTTTTGCATTATATAAAAGCAATGTTAGAAAACGAATTTTAGATGTTATTTCGCGTTTTAGATAACTGTTTTAATAAATTATAATAGTTTAGACAAGATTTTGGAAAAATATTGATGTTTAAAAAAAATTCAACTGCAATTTTGAGGGGGGTTGTAGGTTGAGGTGTGACGTCATTTTAGGGGGGGGTCTGGCTTTTTGTGACGACGTGTGACAGAGGGGAGGGGGGAGGTAAAAATCGTCCAAAAAAAGCGTGACCTCATTCATGGATCACCCCTAAGCTTGTAAGTAACTAAGCTTTATTTTTTTGAAGTTCAATATTTATTTTCTTTTAAAGTTGCTAATCAGTTTGGAATTTTTTTGAGTTTTACATGAAATACTGGCACTTAACAGCTAAACTGTCAAAACATTTTTTTTCTCGTTTCACTTCCCTTATCCTTGCGCTGACCCTGACCACAATACCAGCCTAGCCCTAACCACAACCAAACCCTAACATAATATCATTACTCTGACCCTTACTTTAATCTTAACACCACCCCTGTAACGTAGCCATAGCCTTTATCCTAAATCTAATAATAATTTCACTACCCCCAATCCTAAGCATTCCTTCTAACTCTAACCGCAACCCAGGTCTAAATCTCCATCAACTCTAACTTCAACCTAAACCTTAGTCCTAACCTGCATCCTAATCTTAAAATAGTATCACTACCCTGAACTTAACCCAAACTTTATATTTAACAATCCTACATGTATTAACCATTCCATCACTTCTATTTTCAACCTCTCTAGGCAGGGAGTTACATAGACATGTACAGAAAACAAAAAGAAAAAGACAACGAAAAGCCGTGGTATAAAGTCTACGGCTTGAAGGATTATCGCAAAATGCAGAAGGAAGTTCGCCTGGGCACCCTAGGGCCAGATCTAGAGAGTGATGCACTCAAGGAGAGGGTGAGTACAAGTTGCAGCAACATTGCTCACATGCTGTCTGTAATGATAATAATCATTGCTAACATTCTGTCTGTAATGATAACAATCATTGCTAACATTTTGTCTGTAATGATTACATTCTGTCTGTAATTATAACGATCATTGCTAACATTCTATCTGTAATGATAACAATCATTGCTAACATTCTTTCTGTAATGATTGCATTCTGTCTGTAATGATAACAATCATTGCTAACATTCTGTCTGTAATGATAACAATCATTGCTAACCTTCTTTCTATAATGATTACATTCTGTTAGTAATGATAACAATGTTTTTACTGTGAGGTACAAGAACTAAAAGTCATATTATGCTTAGACGATTTGTCTTCATCTGTGTTGAGCAGTAATGCAGTTATGCTTATAGATATTTGACTTAAAATGTCATCATTTTAAAAAAAATTATTGTTTGTTTTATCTTTATATCCGACTAGTTTGCTTATTTATCTCTATTATCAAATAAATCATGCAACCTTATTTTTAAGTTACACTTCTAAAGCGCTCTACAGAAAACAACATTCATTTGTTAAAATAAAAATCATCATTCATATAATGTTTATATTTATAGACATCACTCTCTACTTTTCACAAAAGTCAAAGAAACTAAACTTTATAAAAAATATCCATACTCATTTGTGAACTATAGATATTAGTGTATTGTCACCACTTCATCTATTCCCCAGAGAGAGAAATTCCAGAGACAAAATGAATACGCCAAGCAGGTGATGGAGAAAAACAGATCAGAATTCTCTCACAAGAAACCTCCAGCCTTTCCTCGGCCTAAGGAGGATAATGATATTCTCAATAGGAGGAAGCTGGTATGTTTGTACACAGTTGATGACTGTGACGACGCATGTTAGGCAAGATTAGAAATAGGTCAGAGGTCACACAGATTAGTTTGCTAAAATAAGATGAGTACCAATGAGAAATGGTCACGTTTGCTGGTCAGATGACTAAGAGTTAGGAGATGGTAAGAGTTAGACGGTCAAATATAATGCAGTTGATTGGTCAACCATTTAGGAGAAAGTAGAGTGTTAGAAAACAGTTGAATACAGATATTGTTAGGACTAGGAGATAGTTGAGTTGGACTTGGAGATCAGTTAGGGTATAGTTGAGATAGTAGGAGTTAAAGACAGGAAAGCTGAGTTAGGCAGGTAGGATTAGGAAGAGATGGACTGTGTAGATTTTAATTAACCCTTAAAGTGGGCGCCATGTGGCCGTACGCGTTTTAAGTACGTGTTTTAAGTACGCGTTTTAAGTTATGTAGCAGCAAAGCCATTATTGTGCCTTGGCGCGCTTTCAGGGTTAATAGACATTAAAATTTGATTTGAACTGTGTCAGTTGTGTTACTTATATATATATTTCCCGCTGGAGACTTTGGTACGGATTTCACACAAGAAGGGTCGATCCCCTAACCCACATATATACACATTTCAGTGATATATATATAATAAAACATCTATACTTTCCCTACCCACAGAATCAATGAATGATAGTTTGGAAATTTAAAAGAAATAATGGGTCGAAAGTATACATTTTTAAGTATACTCATATTTTTGTTATTCACAATGTTGCATGATCAAATATTGTTTAAATATTTTAACTTAGAGCCTACAAATTTCACTGAGCCCATCCAGCTCTAATGGGTACCTGAGTTTGGTTGGAGAAAAGATGGAAGCTTGGACCATACAATCCCTGTATGTCCTGTTTCATGATGCAATAATAGAAAAAAAAATCTGACTATTTTCATGAAACAGGACACATGTATTTTATGGTTAAGGGCACTGTTGAGTACCTGACTCACAGGAAAACAAAGTTTACTTGTTATAGTGCTGACCACACTATCTCTTGAGGTCATTTACCCCCATGTGTCTTAGGCATAAAAGATCATGATGATGAATTTTGTAACCACATCATTACATTATATGTTGTTTTAATGCTAACTAAAACACTAATTTTTTTTCAGGAAGATTTTTTATTATAATGGTTATTTAAATTTTTTAAACATGTCTTAAACTCTTTAAATATTTAATTTTAAGTTAAGAAAAATTGTACGATTATGTTCTTTTGCTACAGTATCATTATTAAAACAAAATATTCCCCCCCCCCCTCCACCCCCCCCACCCCCCCCCACCCCTTAGGCTGTGGAGTATGCGAAGTCTGTGCCTAAACCCACGGTGAAGCCCCAGCCTAGTGAATACAACAACTACGAGCTGGCGTCCGAGAGATCACCCATAGCTAAACACCACAGGAAGGTGGACGAGAACATGACCCCCGGGCTCAAAAACACCACCCCCAGCCCACGCCAGCCCACAAAGCAGAAAGAAATGGACGTGCTGGACATTGAGAAACTGCGCCAGCGTTACGAGGAGGACAAGCAAAATGAGGCTTTGATAAGGAGAAACACCACAGCCAGTTTGCCAAAGGGAGAGAAATACTATTGAGTTAAGCTAGGTCGTGGAGTAGTGGGTCATGGATTGCTTTAAAAATAGCTCAAGGACAGTAACTAGAATGTCAAAAGTTTGACAAAGTTGCTCTGCCTTATTTTTGTGTTACTTTGCTTTACTCTAGGTTTGTTTCACAAAATAATTTTTCTTGATTCATGTTTTAGTTTTTAAAAAAACATTTTTAGTTTTTTTTTTTTTTTTTAATTTAGACAAATTGCACAATCAGCTTTTTAAAATCAAATTATTAATAATTTTTTTTGTAATAGTTTATTTTTATTAGAAATCAATTTTTAAAAATTCTGTTTAGAAATATTTTAGAAACATTTTTAGAAAAACATTTCATTTTTACAAATATGTATGCATGTTCTGTATATACAAGCTATTTTACATTTTTAGTCATTTATGTTTTTATTATGACTGGCTGTGGATGTTTTCTTGAATGCTGTTTGCCTGTTTTGTTATACGTATATAAATGACATATCATATACATAGAGCTATATACACCAGGAGTAATAATTTTAAAATAATTTAATCTTGATATTGAGTGGCTTACTTTCCTGTGGGAACTTAAATTGGTTTTTTTGTGGGTACCTGTAGAGTGGGTATGTGTAGTGGGTACATGAAGTGGGTTTCTGTTGTGGGTACCTGGCTATCTGTGTGATGTGTTTCTCTGTAGTGAATTACTGTAGAATGGGTGCCTGTATATACCTACCATTTCTGTATTCTGACTATAAATATTTGTTATCAATTACTATTTCAGTTTTGAGTCCAGAAATAGAACTCAAATCATTCGGTTTACTCTACCTCTGAACCACGCCATCCCAGAACATATAAATAAAAACATTCCATTCCATCTGACTAAAATACAAAAGATAATAATTGTAATGTAGAAAAGAGAATCCATTGAATATATACATGCATTACGTAACATGCTTTTACCATAAAAAAAATAATTCTTATTTTGAAATCTGGTCTATTAAACTTCATTTATTAGCCAAAAAAAAAAACGACCTTTTTTATAATATAAGGTAGACCACTAAAACGAAACATAATTATTGTGTAAAAAATTACAATAAACTTTGAATAAAAAAATTTACAAATTTAAAAACCTTGTCATTTCTCAGAAATCTTCTTTCTAAACAAATTTTATTACTTTTTATTAAAGAAAAATATTTTATTTGCATTTTGGGAAATGTTTAAATGATAATTCTCATCTATGTGACTAAATGACTTTCTAAGACTTGGTGTAAATTTTACAAGGGTAAATTACAATTGTTCTTTACATTCAAATGTTACCATATTCTTATAAATTACACTGGGAAGATTTCTCTCATATGTATATATATATATATATATATATATATATATATATATATATATATATATATATATATATATATATATATATATATATATATATATATATATATATATATATATATATATATATATATATATATATATATACAATTATATATATATATATACAATTATATATATATATATACAATTACATTAAAAAGTGTCAGATGTATTACATATGAAAGTATGTATGGTGTATGTTTTAACTTTTTATATGACGTATACATCTTTTTAAACTTCTGTTACGACATTTTTTTAAACGACCAATCATCATTTGTTTTATACATTTGACCAAACATCATTTGTGTTATACATTTTAATTGGTTGGTTTCTCACACGCATTGTCTGTGGTTGGTCAGTCATTTACATGACCATGCTTGCGATTGGTTGATCATTTACACCTCTACGTTGTGATTGGTTGTTTTTTTGCATGGTTGTGTTCTGATTTGTTAATAATTAAAAAGGCCTTTTGTGATTGGTTGTTCATGATATCCACAAAATTACTGGATGTATTGTAAACTGCTAGAAGCAAACACAAGATGTTTTACATTTTATTTTCACCTTTCACCTATAAAAGAAATATTCCAAATGCAATTTTTATTTTTGTTCACATAATTTTTCAGATAAAATTACATTTTTTTGTATTGGACTCTAAACAGAACTGTGATATATATATATATATACATACTGTTTTACAGCATTGCCAAGTTGTTGGTTAATATACATATCAATAAACTCATATTTTATTTTAATCACTGTGTTTATTGGTGCTTTATTTGTATGAGTGTCAGTTGGTTTTTATTAGTGTGTGCATAATCAGAGATTCATTGGATAAACTGAACTATGAAAAAAAGTTAGACTAAAGAAAATACAAGGCAGTGTTTTGTACCAGCAACCTGCTCAGTGGTGTCTCTAGGTCAAGTTTTTCTTGATGCAGTAACTGTAGTGTGTCACTCCCCCCCCCCCCTCCCCCTCTTAAAAAAAGTCAGTTTTTGTTTAAGGTCACTTGTACCCCATTTTATTAAGTTATTTTAAATGGACAAAACATCCTTTTGACAATAAGTTTTACTAATTTTCATTTGCTTTCGCTCGCAAGTAATGCAAGTAATATTTAGTCACACTAATGTCTAATAAGTTCATACACAATGAGTTGTTTCAAAAAAAAATTAGTCATGGAAATATTTAGTTGTGCTAGTTACTTCCCCTATATAAAAACAAAAAAAAAACCAAGGGAAATAAGTTTAGTTTTCAAAAATTCATTCACATAATGATAAATACAGTAGTAAAGAAGACAATAAGGGTTAAATATTTACCTTATGTAAATACTAAAATTATTCTTAAATGTTTGTTTACATTTCTAAGAATTTAAAAGTATTATTTTGTTTTAATTTAATTAAAAATATCTTTGATTGCATAACATAGGCCCCATTAATTTTTAGAGACGTGAACTGAATTAAGCTATTTTCGTGTTAGTATTGTGTGATCAGCAATGAGCCATACTGCATAAGCCTGGCAGGACTCGTTAAATATTATTTTATTGTTTGAAATAAAATTTTAAAAAATGTTTGAGGCTTGATATAGATCTAGAAACTGATGTTTAAAAGGGAAGAATGCTTGATTTGATGTACCTCATTGTAATCTACATAACATTCCGGTTGCTTAAAATATGTATAATTTTTTTAAAAAATCCCAAATTTATTTCAGCTTTACTTAAAATCCCAAACCCCCTCAGCCCACCACGCCGATGGAAAAAAATCCCTTGAATCATCATTTAATTACACATTTGCATTTACAGGTTTAAAAAAAAAATCTAATTAGACGTTTTGTATTCGATCTATCTATAAGAAAACCATCTTAAATGAATGAAAGTAGGCTACATGTAAGTAAGAAGTATTACTATTGTAAATCTGTATCAGTCGTCACAAGCCGAGAGGCCCAAAAATAACATCCCCCCCTTCCCGGAAAATTTCAAGTGTACCCCCCCCCCCCCCCACACACACACGACTCGTCACAAACTTATAGTGAAAACATGCTTAAAATAAACCGGGAGTGATCTCCCCTAAACTTTCTCGAATATTCTTATATGAAACAATAGGGGATGGCAACTCGGGATATAGACATAATTTTTAATCTATTTTAAATACTTAAACTTTTTAATAGAATGAAATCTCGTAGAAAAAATAATTGCACACCAAGTGAACGCTTAATAAAATGTGCAGAATAGTGCGGAATATTATTAGTACTTTATAAATTCATATGCGTTTTTTTGAGAAATCGGAAATAACATAAATTACTACTTCCGATCAACGGAAGTTACTCAAAATTTGAATGAAGGTAGAGAATTAGATCTTTTACTTACTTGTGAAATTTCATTTATCTATCTGAAATAGTGTTTAAGTTATAGGCTTTTGAAAAATTGAAAGTAGAAAAAGTTCCACTTCTGGTTATCGGAAATCGCTCAAAAGTTGATACGGATCTACGATTTTAATATAATACTTATATATGAAATTTCATCGATCTAGCTGTAACTGTACTCAAGTTATCGTGTTTACAGACACACAGACACACAGACACACACACACATGCACACAGACATACGGACAAGATTGCAAACTTATGTTTTTCCGACTCAGGAGAAAGTAAAAAGCGGTAATGTCCGTTTACATTTCACCGAAAATAGATTAGATTGTATTCTTAATTACAAGCAGAACATCACTGTGTTAAAAGAAGTAGCATTTTTTCCTCAGCTAGATACTGACAGTACCTTGGTCTAGTCTGTTGAATGAGTTCATTATAGAATCATTTAAAATTTAAAATGTACCGAGTTCTGGATGGATTGTCTCATCCTTGTCAAGTGCTGTTTTTACTTTCTCGTATATACGAAGTATAGAGAAAGTATTGTAATCGTGCACAAAAATCACTTGAAATTTTAACACTTTTCACCGTATTACACCTCAGTCCTTCATCACATCCGAAGTATAGAGGACTTATTTTAATCGGGCAAAAATTATCAATCCAGATTTATCAAAATTAAGAGGTTTTATGCGTAATCCAGTCTGAAAAACTGGGCTTTGCAATTCTGTCCGTATGTCTGTGTGTCTGTGTGTGTGTGTGTCCGTGTGTAAACACGATAACTTGAGTACCGTTACAGCTAGGTTGATGAAATTTCATATATAAGTATTTTATCAAAATCTTAGATCCGTATCAACTTTTGAGCGATTTCCGATAACCGGAAGTGGTACTTTTTCTACTTTGAATTTTTCAAAAGCCTATAACTTGAGTACTATTTCAGTTAGATAAATGAAATTTCACACGTAAGTAAAAGATCTAATTCTCTACCTTCTCTCAAATTTTGAGTAATTTCCGTTGAACGGAAGTAGTAATTTACGCTACTTCCGATTTCTCAAAAACCTAATGTAAATTTTTAAAGTACTAATAATATTGCGCACTATTATGCACTTTTTTACTTGGCGTTCACTTGGTGTGCAATTATTTTGTCTACGAGATTTTATTCTATTTTTAAAACTTTAAGTCTTTAAAATTAATTAAAAATCATGTCTATAGCCCGAGTTCCCATCCCCTGTTGTTTTATATAAGAATATTCGAGAAAGTTTAGGGGAGATCACTCCCGGTTTATTTTTTTTGTAACTCGTGCGAAATCTATAATCAATTAAACTTCGCGATTAGTGTTTTTTTTTCCCTTTTACATCGTGAAAAATGTTTGAATTTTATTTCTCGTAAAGTGTTTTTAGTTAAATGAATAAAAACAATGGACAGTTGTGCTTTGTGTTTGATTTTAAAACAGCGAAATTGTACATGTGTATTCTTATAACAGGATTTTTCGTTTATAGTGAAGTTTGTATCTCATGTTTGTTGTGTGATCTTAAGAAACTTGTAAAGAGGAGAGGCGAGGCAGAAGAGCTAGAGTTGACATCTACGTGGTGGATCAGGTGGATTAGCTACAAACTTTACGGACATACTGACATACAGAGCTTTGGTTAATTGGTTGAAAAAATTGTTGTTTCGTAGGAGTTTTAACGTATGTCAAGTTACTTGCTTTTTAAAAAGTAAGTAGTTTTCTAACGTGTGTTGTAAAATGACGTCACCGTCCTGGGTGTTCAGTCTTCTATGTCAGGGGTCTCCAAACTACGGCCTGCGAGGTCCTCTCATGCGGCCCGCGAAGATCTTTTTGTCCACGGAAAAAACGTTTGTTGGTGATGGCTGATGAACTTTGCCCAGAAAAATCAAAGACATGCCTGGAAGAAACTGGCCCCCGAACTGATATGTGATAGTTAATGCGGCCCTCGGACTGAAAAGTTTGGAGACCCCTGTTCTATGTGATGAGGTAGACGACGGGAAGTGGGGAGGGAGGATGAGGGGGTGATTTTAAAGTGTGACGTCACATTTTAAAATATTTTTAAAAATAATGTTTTAAACTGAATTGTAGCGGTTATTGTGCTTTTGTATTCAAATTTTGTTGCAAATTGAAAGTAAAACTGATTACACTACTTAACCTTGACCTAGTTCAATTAATATTATTAATAAAATATTGCTATCTTTTTTTAAAGAGGAAGACAGTCACTCATTTCATTGAACACTTTTTGGATGATTAATGATACCGATGTCAGACAATAGACTCTTCCAAAAATAAGAGTGCTAGGTTGTTAATAGTATTTTAAACTCGACTAGTTTTATGGTTAGAAATTAGGGTTAAGCTTATGGTAGAACTATAGGGTTTGGCGTTAGGGATAGAGTTGAGATTGACATTAACAATCCATGTGTGTATTTTATTTAACAAACCAGTAACCTAACACCCATTTTTAACACCTTATTATCGAATACTGGAATAAAAAATTCCCCCACAATTTTTCAATTAATCAACACCATTATGTAGACTCTTCAACACGGAGTTGACCTTTGAACCAAACACATTTTAGCTTAGCCATAGTGTAAACGTCAATTGGTTTTAAAATTAGCTTGGTTTTTTTTTTCTTTCACCTTATTTCAAATATATCTCAACATCTGGTAAAAAAAAAAAAACCCGGATACTTCAAAAGCGTTGGGGTGAGGAAAACGTGTGCTTAATGCTTTTCTAAAAAAAAAAAAAATCATCAATTTTCTTAAAAAATGAAGGCATGATAAATCGTTTCACGTGGCGGAAAAATCTCAATGCTATTCAGTGTTTTCGTTTAAATAACAGTTAGATATATTTACACTTCTTCTGAGCAAAGACTACATTTCCGGCACCAGTAGCATATTATTTGAATATGCGGAAATTCGGGGATTTGAAAAGATTTACTTAAAAATCAATCACGGATATTTCAAGGAAAAGAAGTATTAAAGCTCACATGATTGAGGAGATCAAGAGACATACATGATATTAATATGTTAGTCTATCGGTGCAATAAAATCAACTGTATGTAAATATTTTAAAAATATTTTTAATAAAACTTCAAATTTTAATTAAATTAAAAACAAACCAAGGAAAATGACGATGATTGTTATTATCTGTTCATCTTTATTCGGTAAGTTTGTTTTTAAATTTTAAGCAGTTTAAAATAATTAATTTACAAAAAGATGATGCATTTTAAAGTTATAAGCTTTTATTTAGTTCACATAATCTGTTTGTTTGTTTGTTTGTTTGAAATTTGTGGGTTTGTGGCAAATCCTGTTACTTAATTTTGACCCACTTTTAATGTACATTTTAAACTTTCCAGGTACATTCGTCTTCGATAACAATGCAAGAATATCTATTTTTAAAAATTTAATTAGATATTAGACTGGTTATTGAAATTTAATTAAAAATTACTAAATTCAATAATAAAAGTGGAGACAACAAGATTCACTCCTTCAGTTTGCCATCGAAGGCAAACTGCTTTTTTTTTCACGTACTACTAAAAAGTGGTTAATATTTTTAAAAAATCATTTCTAACAATAAGCTTTTAAATGCACCAAAAAGGCATTGGTTACCAAAATGTATAGGGGATTTATCGAATGACCAATGCTTAATGCTTTTATTAAATAAAGCAAATGCGTTTTTTTTTCTCATTTTCCTACCATTTAAAATCTTTTTCAAATTTACTTTTAGTCACAGCCGATGTGATTGGACAGAATGTCGTGTTACTACCATACGACCGGGCCTACAGCCAATCAGCGTGCAGGGATGGATTACGTCACGGCGAGGACAAAATGGTGTTCACGGCGCTGGTGAACTTCACTCACCTGTCGGACGATTGGAGTCGGACCGTCCGATTTCACTCGACCGACGACCGCGACCAAAATTTTACTTACGTAAATACATTGGTTTATTTTAAATTTTTTTACTGCGAGTTCAACGCATGGTTAAAATTGTGTGTGAGAATTTTTTTAGTCCATAACAGTGTTTCTTTCAGGCAAATATTTAATATATCGGGGGGGGGGGGGGAGATTCGGAACACCCCTACTGCTCGATAGAAGAAATAGGGTGGGAGGGTATCTGGCTCATTCTGAAAATGTTTGTCGATATGGGGGCAAAATTGGTTAGTTATGTAACGTCATAAATGGACAATGCCAAATAAGCAACTGTATAGTAAGATACATTATGATGTTCAATCGGCAATATTAACGGCTGGTATTTCTAAGGAGATCAACAAATAACACAATGGTAAAAAGTATTTTTATCCCCACCACGGGCCAGGCTACAGTTGTTCACGACGAGATGGTCACGGCTAGACGGTCACGGCTAGACGGTCACGGCTAGACGGTCACGGCGAGATGGTCACGACTAGACGGTCACGGCTAGATGGTCACGGCTAGACGGTCACGGCTAGACGGTCACGGCTAGACGGTCACGGCTAGACGGTCACGGCTAGACGGTCACGGCTAGACGGTCACGACTAGACGGTCACGACTAGACGGTCACGACTAGACGGTCACGGCTAGATGGTCACGGCGAGATGGTCACGGCTAGATGTTCACGACTAGATGTTCACGGCAGATCCTTAAGATAAGATGATATGAGATTTTAAAGGAAAACCTGTGGCAAATCCCAAAGCAACAGCCGATAGACAGTGACATCAAAGCCCGTGAATGGAGATGGATAGGGCATACACTGAAAAGGAAAGAGGATGATATCGAGAAAGGAAGCGTTAGACTGAAATCTCCAGGGGAAGAGGAAAGTAGGACGGCCAAGGAAATCCTGGAGAAAGGCCGTAGAAGAAGAGGCAAGGGTGTAGGGCTTACGTAGGGACAAATAAAAAGAGCTGCCCTAAAACCGAGTCTGGTTGAGAGGTGTGGATGCAGCCCTATGCTTCACAGGGGCCACAAAAAACAACAACAAAAAAAACAAAAATAATAACAATGAGAAAACGAGACTCCGTACTTTCGAGACACCACATACTCTAGATTCCCACTTCGAATTGAACTTTTCATAAATTTAACGTTGTATCACTCGAGTGTATCATGGTATAGAGGGCGCTGCAGAGACCGATATAGAGGCCGATGTAAAATAGACAACAAGTGTTTTGAGGGTGGGTTTAATTCATGAGTTAAAGCACTCGAGAAAAAACCACTCCAGTGACCTTGAAGAAAGAGCCGGATGTTTTGAAAAAGATTTTAAATTACGATAACTATGGTAATTAAAGTTTGTGAATAATTTGTACGATTAGACAGACTTTTTAAAGTGGCTGAGTTGGAGTGAGAGAGTTGTGTTGGTTGTGATAGAAGTTTCGTCGCCAAAAGTCATTTAGCGAAAGTATTTGAGAAAAGCTTGAAATAATATTTGAAACTAGATGTCTGCTAGTTTTAGTGAGTTAATGTCACGTCTGAATGACTACTCACTTTTGCTAGCTGTTGTTCACACTACACCCCCCCCCCCCCCCCCCTTTATCAATAGCCTACTGCGTGAATTTTTTAAACTATGGCTACTTTTTAAAAAAAAAATAACGTGATTCAAACTTGTATCTATTCTTCTCTGATTGCCCGATGTTTTCAACCCATGTTTTAATAGATTCACTTTAATTTAAAATGTGTTACTTGTGTTGTGAATGCGACTAAGAATTATTTTTACTCTAAATATATGTACTCTATATGTAATGTAAAATATATCGCCTCTAATTTTGTGTGCCTTGTATGTCACATAAAACGGTTGCCTCTAAATGCGTGTGCTTTGTATGTCACATACAGCTGTATTACAAGTATTGGTCTACATTTTATGTCGAATTGTATTACCTTTCCATTCGTGTTTTCTTATGTCACATAAAACTGTTTTGCTTCTAAATGTATGTGCTATGTATGTCACATACAGCTGTATTACCTCATCACTCGTATACCTTGTATGTCACATACAATTATGCCGCCTCTCCATTCGTGTTTATTGTATGTCACATACAACTGTATTGCCTGTAAATTTCTGTGCTTCGTATGTCTCATACAAATATGTTGCCCCGTATGTTACATACAACTGTGTTGCCTGTAAATATGTGTACCCTGTATGTCACATACCCCATACTCCCTCTCCAGCTGTCTGGTATGTGACATACAACTGTGTTGCCTGTAAATATGTGTAGCTTGTATGTGACATACCACTGTATTCCCTTCAAATATGTGTACCCTGTATGTGCCATACCACTGTGTTCCCTCTCTAGTTGTCTACCCTGTATGTGCCATACCACTGTGTTCCCTCTCCATTAGTCTACCCTATATGCCACATACCCCTGTATTCCCTCTCCAGTTGTCTACCCTTTATGTCACATACCCCTGTATTCCCTCTCCAGTTGTCTACCCTTTATGTCACATACCCCTGTTTTGCCTCTCCAGTTGTCTACCCTATATGTCACATACCCCTGTATTGTCTCTCCAGTTGTCTACCCTTTATGTCACATACCCCTGTTTTGCCTCTCCAGTTGTCTACCCTATATGTCACATACCCCTGTTTTGCCTCTCCAGTTGTCTACCCTATATGTCACATACCCCTGTATTGTCTCTCCAGTTGTCTACCCTTTATGTCACATACCCCTGTTTTGCCTCTCCAGTTGTCTACCCTATATGTCACATACCCCTGTATTCCCTCTCCAGTTGTCTACCCTATATGTCACATACCCCTGTATTCCCTCTCCGTTTGTCTACCCTATATGTCACATACCCCTGTATTCCCTCTCCAGTTGTCTACCCTATATGTCACATACCCCTGTATTCCCTCTCCAGTTGTCTACCCTATATGTCACATACCCCTGTATTCCCTCTCCAGTTGTCTACCCTATATGTCACATACCCCTGTATTCCCTCTCCAGTTGTCTACCCTATATGTCACATACCCCTGTATTCCCTCTCCGTTTGTCTACCCTATATGTCACATACCCCTGTATTCCCTCTCCAGTTGTCTACCCTATATGTCACATACCCCTGTATTCCCTCTCCATTAGTCTACCCTATATGCCACATACCCCTGTATTACCTCTCAATTTGTCTACCCTGAATATCACATACCACTGTATCCCCTCTCCAGTTATGTGCAGTCAACCTGACCAAAGGCTGCAACCGAACACACCGCATCATCTGCTACTGCAACACCACAGACGACGACGGCATCCACCACATCATCGTCAACATCACGGCGCTCTCATCCTACAGCCACTCGGGCTTGCAAGCTTACCTCGTACACTCCAACCTGTCTAGGATGTACAGCGGGATTCAGCATTTTCCCAAAGTTTCCGGTAATTGGAAATACCATTTTTTGTGTACGTAAAGTTTCCCTTTCAAACCTGTCGGTCTATGGGGCAAGTGAAGAAGCGTTCACTTGTTTCTGTGACCTCGGCTTATGAAGAGATAGTGTGGTCAGCACTATGCCCAGCCGCCTTTACTTTCCCTAACGTGAGTTAGGTACCCATCAGAGTTGGGTGGACTCAGGGACGGTCTACTGACTTGAACCCGGATTCGAACTCGAGACTTACGGGTTAGCAGTCTAGCTCTATACCACTCCGTCCCACTCCGTTTTTTTTTTGTGTATTTTTTTTCAACATGGACGCCAGATAGATTGCTTAAAAGGGAGATCACTAAGATGGATTGCTTTAAGGGGAGATCACTAAGATGGATTGCTTTAAGGGGAGATCACTAAGATTGATTGCTTTAAGGGGAGATCAATAAGATGGATTGCTTTAAGGGGAGATCACTAAGATGGATTGCTTTAAGGGGAGATCACTAAGATGGATTGCTTTAAGGGGAGATCACTCTTAATACACGATTCGGGTAATAGCTAAGACAACTCTCCGTTGTACTGACAAAAAGACCGTTTTATGGAAAAAGTAAACTCGGTATACAGTTTTTAGCGCAATTTCCATTCTGGAGAATTGCGTTTATTAACGCGTCATTTCTGGATGGATGGATGGATGGATGAATGTATGGATGAATGTGTGTCCGGGCTTTAAGTCGTATCTCCTCCTCAACGAAGCAATATCGATGACTAGTTCCAAAAGCAATTATGTTAAGCAAGTTACAAGAATGAGCATAGGCCATAAAAATTCCGGGTTTCTTTCATGTATTTCCCGGAAAAGCCAAAAAACCTCGAAAAAAAGCAGTTTTTGGCCCATATCTCGTCAACCAGACCACTTAGCGACTTGAAACATGTACCAATCGATTCCTGCCATAATTTAGAGCAATATTGCCGAAGAAAGTTTTCAAAAATATCCTCTCGTTTGGTCACAAATTTTAAAATTACAAAAACACCTACAAACCGATTGTTCTTCTAGCTTGAACGCATCCCAGCATTATACGTCAGAGCTATTTTTAGATAACATAAGGAAATTGCGCATAAATGTCACTAGACTTTTTTAATTAACTTGTTTCTTAAATACACTATTTAGACATAGTGTTTTAATAACATAGTAATGAGTTATAAATATCAGTGTTTCTTCTAGACTTTTTTCTCCGGGGGTAGGGGCACTTGATATTTTCGGTGGGGGCGGTCAACATTCTCCGGGGGGGGGGGGGGGGGGGACACTGGTAAAAGTATATTTTTCTATATAAATTCCATTTCGGTCGGGGAGCGGGGGGGGGGGGGCGGTAGACTTTCTTCGGGGGGGGGGGAATGCCTGGAAGAAACTCTGATAAATATAAGCCTAAAATATACTCAATTATGGAAAAATCTATAAAATCTTTTTATATGAAAACCGCTAATGATTTATAAATAAACTAAGTGCGCTAATCATTAACTGGATGAGTACTTTTCAGATATAACTAGTGTTATTTTTCAAGAAAGCGTATTCGCACTGGCGTCTAATTCAAGCGTAGTTCACATGGGAGACAACAAGGAAGAAATTAAATTTTGTTGTTCGGAGTTACCCTCCCCTTGCACGGCCGCTTTGGAGGTGGCCGAGACGCTAGTGAAGGGCGACTCGTGTGTTGTGTACAACCTGACGGAGGCCGGGGTTCGAAACACGGTGAACCTCACTTTACGGTTTGATGTTTGCGGGTCTGAAGTGAGATCAAACACTTACGTCATAGCATTACAACAAAAAGGTTTGATAAAATTATGTGTTTTTTTTTTCTTTAAAAAAACACTTTTTGAAAATCATAATTTTACATTACACAAAAAAAAAAGAAAAAAAGTAAAGAATCCTCTAAGGACCTAGCGATCCGTTGGGCATAAGAACTAGAGTTCATGTTTCTTGACCTCGGTATAAGGTGTGGTTAGCACTTTGCCCAGCCGCCTTTATTTTCCCAAACATGAGTTAGATACCCATCAGAGCTGGGTGGACTCAGGGACGTTTAACTGATTTGGACCCGGATTCAAACTTAAGACTTTCGGGTTAGCAGCATAGTGCTCTACCGCCTTGGTCATTCCGTCCGACACGTTACACAAATATCAAGACAAAATTATTTAAAACTGAATAAAAAACGAGCTCGAACTCTTATAAAAAACGTTGTCTTTAAAAATAACAGTTCGTAAATTTGGAGAGCAATTGTACTGAACTCTAAATTTTATCACCTTTCATGTGTTATATAAACAGGTGTACTCTACTTCTGTTGCAGTCAAATTAAAGAAACTGTACTTTACTTCCTAATAATACAAGACTTAAAGTAATAGAGTAATAAAAAAGTAACAAATTTTGTCCTTAAAGTACTTGAGGCAGGTGAAGTAGAATTCACGTATTTCTGTGAAATAGGCATTTGAAAGGATATAATGATTGTCTACCCTATATGTCACATACCCCTGTATTGTCTCTCCAGTTGTCTACCCAATATGTCGCATACCACTGTATTCCCTCTCCAGTTGTCTACCCTACCTTCTTTACTCTCCCTAACGTGAGTCAGGTACCCATTAGAGCTGGATGTACTCAGGGACGTCTTCAAGCCTGGTTAGCAGTTCGTGTGCTCTACCATCCGACTACCTCGTCATACATAACGTAGAGTGTATGACTAAATAGCTTAGATATTTACTCACATGAAAATAATAGCTTAGATATTTACTCACACGAAATACTAACCCAGTCCATGTTTTCAGAAGACGGGTCTGAGTTAACCTCAGCCACCGCCCAGGTCACATGGACACGGGTCACTGACTATGTAGATCTCATCTCAGCTGACCGCAGTAGTGTGCTCAACACGACGGAGATAGCAGGTCAAAACGGATATTATTATTATTACACACACATACAGACACACACACACATACACATACACACAAACACACTCATACACACACAGACACACACATGTACACACGCATGCACACACTTACACACACGCACCCGCTTACATACACGCTGACACTTAATAACACACGCTGTTACACTTACAAACACATGACTGCATACCCAAATTTCTATATTTGTATGTATGTACTTAAATACAGTTATGGTTGTGGGATTATTAGAGTAAAGCTTAGTGATAGGGACACGTCCGAATTCGAATGAGGATCAAGGTCCAGGGTACGGGATAGCACTAGGGACTAACTTCATTATCATCGGCATTTGTCCTTCGGGCGCAAGACACATGGGGTACATGAAATAGAGTTTATCTGCCTCAGAGACCTTGGCATATGAAGGGATTGTGCGGTCAGCACTATGCCCAGCCGCCTTTGTTTCACTAACGTAAGGTATCCATAAGAGCTGGGTGGACTCAGAGAAGTTAAACTGATTTCAACCCGGATTTGAACTCGAGACTCTCGGGCTAGCAGTCTAGCTATCATAGGGACTAACTTAGGTTAAGATAATGTTCAGAGTTAGAGTTAGGGTAAGGTTAAGTGTAGCTCTACAACTAAAGGCTTTCGAGTGAACCGTTTAAGAATACACATGTGTATTGTTTGGAAAAAAAAAAGTCATATTATTTTACATACTTCAAATGTAAATAGTTAGACATTTTTAATAGGGCTAGTAAGTAGGTCACCAACCAGTTCTATGGCTCATGCAGGTTTTATTGAGCCGTAGAAGTAGTTGGTGACCTACTTACCAGCCCTACTACTTTTAACCTATGTAATAAAAAAAACGATCCAATATTAACACAGTGAATACAACACGTTACGTAACAGACATGTGGATAGACGACCAGAAAAACAACTTCATCGTTGGTCTGTCAGTAACTACAGCAACTTTTGTCCTTCTGTTTCTCATCACAACCGTGGCTTACTGCTGTCGAGGTAAAACAATGACTACTTTTGTAACAGTTAAACAAATGACTACTTTTGTAATAGTTAAACAAATGACTAAACTTTACGTAACGCTCAACATCTTTTCCGTCTATTAATAGTGTAAAGTAAATATTTATTTAGTAAAAATTGATGTCTAAAAAATGTACACGGAATTTTTCACTTTTCAAAAATAAAATATCGAGTTAATTTCACTACTGGTTAAATAAAGAGGATGTTATAAATAATTTAGAAAAAAAAGGTTTATTTCCCCTAGTATTAAAATAATAAACTATATTTGAATGTTATCTTCTTTTAAAGTATTTTATTTAAACTATGGTGAAAAGCAATTATGGAGTTTTTATCTGAGGTTTATTTTTTTTTTTAAAATTTACTCTAGTAAAAGCAATTCAAGATCATTAAGCTGAAATGCCATCACTGAATGTTGTTTAGAAATAGACGCATTTTATTTTTTTAGATTTTTTTTAGAGAATCGGAAATTTCCGAATTTTTGTTTGGGAAAAACAACCTGTATCAATCAATGATAGTAATAATGGAATAAATAAAGAATAGATTATGTAAGGGGTTAGGGGGGTGGGGGGGGGGGGGGGTTGACTTGCATTATTACATATGTATTTAAACTTGGATATTTTAATTCTACATTTCTCCTAACAATCGCTTAGCTGTAGGTTATCTATACAGGATCATGCTAGGTGTTAGTCATCTCTTTTTTTAAATGGATGCAAAACATTTTCTAACTGCTGACTTTATTAATATTTATTTTTCCTCTTCTATCTCTCCGTGTTTTTTTTTCTCTACCAGTTAGACTGAGACTTGGTGTCTACGACAGACGGTAGGTCAGAATAAAATGTTTTTATTTTCTAATTAAAATTATATTTAATTTAAGGTTGGTTGAAGGGACGAGGGAAGACATTAAGGTCAATAAAAATAAAAAATAAATAAAACATTAAGTAGTACTATAGTGTGTGTCTTTTAAATACAAGTAGAGTATACAGCTACTGTTTTGTTTTTCAGTAACGTCAGCAATACGGCTAAAATCTCGGAGTTTGGTGGTAAGTTTAATTCACTGTTCACAGAGGTTAGTAACGGTCCCTTTTCGAATCTGACAGTCTATTGGGTAAGTGAAGGAGAGTTCACCTGTTTCCGTGACCTCGGCATATGAAGGAATAGTGTGGTCAGCACTATGCCCAGTCGTTTTTACTTTTCTTAAAGTTAGTTAGGTACCCATCAGAGTTGGGTGGACTCAGGGAAGTTCTACTGGCTTGAGCCCGGATTCGAACTTGAGACTTTCGGATTAGCAGTCTAGTACTCTATCGCTAGGCCATACGTTCCTAACTGTCGGGCTCTTTCACCTTGGTTTATTACAACTTTTCGCAATCGAAATAAAGAAGTTGCTCTAGAACTTTCTCTTCAAGTAGAACAGCATTTCAAAGCAGACCACCATTTTGAACGTATACCGTGTTCACCGCAATGGCGGTTGTTTACATAGTGACTGTTCAGTGACGTCATTTGCAAGGGATCAGTAGATATACACCTAATCCTAATGCTAGGATAGCTTGTTGTTGATCTCCCCTGAATCCTTTCTTCACTCTAAACCAACTTTCTAATACTTTTCGGCGAACGATTTAATTGTTGAGAGGCTATTTTCGCCCATAGAATATTGTTGCCATAAAGTAGATCACTAAATTTTAACGTCGCGCTACGAAAGACAACTTTTTAAAAGCTACCAATATTCGCCACAATAGGCAAACTCTCTCTAAAAATACGTCACAAAGTTTCTTTCCACAACTCTCTTTAAGCATTTTTTAACGGCAAATAACAATTTTTTTCATTACTTTTGTTCTTAAAAATATATAAGGTTAAGCTCTAGATCACATTTCACATTTTTTCCCTAGACAAATGTTTACCATTAAGACCGTTGAACCCACCTGACGACGAAGTCAACATCTATGACGTCATCCCAGACGACTTCGGGTACCAGAACCAACCCCCAGACCTCAGCGTGGAAGAGAACTTTCGAGAATTATCTGAAACAGCGAGAGAAAGTCTGACCTATCTATCGACGAGGCGAAGCGGGGGTTACCCCCCGGCGCCCTGGCCATGCGGGGCACAGGCCCCACCCAGACACACGCCTCTGGAGCTTCAGATCGATGAATATCTTATACCTATCGATCTCCAATCAGATCCACCCAGCGCTGCCATCACCGATGTATACAATCCACATTCGATTGTGGATGAGCACGATCCACTAAGCTCCACCAATATGGCGGAGGACGCCTCGATCCAGCACTATAGTAAAGTCATCGTGCACACAGGAGAGGTGCAGAGGTCAAAAGGTCAAGGTGACACAGGAGAAAGTGTTGACTCAGAGAACGGTTACATCACACCTATTGACGTCACAGTCCCGCTTTTCATAGACTAGACCTTTTTTTCTCTCATTAACGTATTAAAATAAAGTGGAAGTGATTTCCACTAATCTTTCTCGAATATTCTTATATAACACTACGGGCGGGGGATGGCAACTCGGGATATAGACATGATTTTTAATTACTTAAACTTTTAAAAATAGAAATAGAATAGAATCTCGTAGAAGAAAGAATTGCGCACCAAGTGAATGGCAAACAGAATGAGTATAATAGTCAGGAATATTAGTAGTACTTTATATATTCATAAGCGTTTTTGAGAAATCGGAAATATCGAAAATTACTACTTTCGGTCAACAGAAATTACTCAAAATTTGATAGAAGGCAGAGTATTAGTATTTACTTGTGAAATTTAATTTATCTATCTGAAATAGTACTCAAGTTATAGGCTTTTGAAAAATTGAAAGTAGAAAAAGTTCCACTTCCGGTTATTGGAAATCGCTACAAAGTTGTTACGCAGCTACGATTTTGATATAATACTTATATTTGAAATTTCATTAACCTAGCTGTAACGGTTCTCAAATTATCGTGTTTACAGACACACACACACAGACACACAGACATGCGGACAAGATTGCAAAACTATGTTTTTTCCGACTCAGTGAGGTGTAAAACGTCGAGATTTGCAAAAATCTCGATTGTTTTTGTACGATTACAAGACTTTCTCTATACTTCGTTTATACGAGAAAGTAAAAAGGTTCCCAGAAAAAAATGCGCAAGTGGAAAGCCCCTCGTCACACGTCGTCACAAAAAGCCACCTCCCCCCAAATGACGTCACACCTCAGCCTCCAACCCCCACCCCCCCTCAAAATTGCTTGTGAATTTTTCTTAAAACACCAATATTTTTCCAAACATTTTGTCAGAACTCTGTCAATATAGAGTATTTTGATCAATTCCTATTAGAATTTATTAAAACCGTTTTCTAAAACGCGTAATAACGGCTAAAATTCGTTTTCTAAGATTGCATTTTTATAATGCAAAAGTGTGACATCACACCATCTAACCCTCCCTCCCCCCTCCCCTTCATCACACACCGTCACAAAATTACGGACCCCTCCCCCATAGACCCCTCGGTATATATATAAAGTATGAGGGGGGGGGGTGGGGTGTAAATCGAAAGTTTGTCCCCGGGTAAAAATTTGACCCCCCCCCCCCCCCACCCCCGCCATGAGACGATCCTGGCTACGCTACTGTACGAGTGTGACGTCAGTTATGGACGACCCCCCTCACTTAAGTAAGTATTGACTGCACCCCCACGTATAAGACCTCCAAAGACTGGCTACAAACATCGATCTCACTCATTGCATATATTTGAGGCTAAAAGGTCACCGTGGGGAGGAGTCAACGAAAACAGCAGGATTACCGCCACCACCCCCAACGAAAACATGATCTATATATATAATTCTCCTCTTCGAGCAGTTAGAAAACAAGCTGCAAACGCTCTCCCTACCTCCCCACCCCTACATGGTTTTAGTGAGCTGTGTTCACTCTAAATGTTTACAAGCAGAGCCAACGATTTTAAACGTAGGGGGGGGGGGGGGGGGGAGGGGGGGGGGAAGGAAGGGGGGGGGGTTATGGTCCTTAACGAGCTACTTATAGTGTTTTAAAGAAATATTTTTCAGTGTCAGCGTTGGTACATGTCGAATTCACAAATTATGAATTATTGAAAATTAGAAACAACTAAATAGCGGCGTATGTTATGCCGCGGGCCGGCTCGTTTTTATATAAAAATATATAGTTTTACCAGTGTCTTCTAGGAAAATTTAGTCACCCCCCCCTTCTTCCCCTTTTCCGAAAGTGACAAGCCTCCCGCCCCCCCCCCCCCCGCCCCCCCCCCCCCCCCCCCCACACACTCACCACTCCAGAGAAAATTAACCTGAAATAAACACTGTTCACTTATGGTTTGTATTCTAACTTAGATTTATATTCTCACGTTTACGTTCAAATAACATACACACAAATATTCAAAAATCTATCGACGCCTTACGTATAAATCCGCAAATGACGTAAGCAATCGGGAATTCCCGTTACTCACTACCACGGCTGTAATGGAGATCTACCGTTTTTGTGTGTTCCTAGTAATAAAAACATCTACTTTTGCCTAAGTTGAAATTTCATTATGAGTAAGTATTTTCACCGTGTTCATTTGGTGAGTTACAATATGTAACAAATGATTTTTACCCTGTATAACAAATAACACAGGAATAGACTTTAAATTAAAATAATTAGGCATAATTCTAAAAGAAACGTTTGTTTGGAATGTTGTAATTCCATCAATAAACCTTTCGTTTTTTATATGAAAACATTTAATTACGAGAAGCATTAAAATATGACAATAATTAGACTTTAATTTGAATCGATGAAACAAAATAAATCTTTTAAATGTGCTTGCAAGTCTATCAAGGAAACAATAGTACTGAAGGAAGATAATTTAGCTGAACAAAGTAGGCCTAATTGTAAAGAAATTGTTTGATTATACGTATGCTTCACTTTATTTATGATAGATCTAGGTATTTTAAGTATTTTGCTGTGTTTATGTGTTGATTGCCCAACTGGTCTAAGTTGGTCTAAAAATAGCACAAGAGTGACACGTAATCGAAAAGTATCATATCATAGAATTCTGTTTTAAAAATAGCAGAGGCGTAGCGATGGGGGAGTGGGGGGGGGGGGGGAGGGCAGGGGGGTACATATGTCCCCGGGCGCCGACCTTAGGGGTGCGCCAAAATAGGTTGTAAAAACAAATTAAAATGTCATTTTAGCTGCATTATAAACAGTTTGAGGGGGGGGGGGGTGCACATCAAAAGTTTGAGGGGGGGGTGCAAATCGAAAGTTTGAGGGGGGGGGGGGTGCAAATTGAAAATTTGCTCCCGATGGGGGTCGCCAAATTGAAGGTTTGTCCGCGGGCGTCTGGAAGAGTCGTTGCGCCTCTGAAAAATAGTGTTCAATCGTAATCGTTATAAATCGCAAGGCTCGAAAACTACAATAGACGTTTTTTTTTAATTTCTCGACTGTCGTGATTTAATTTAGGTTTTGTAGTTGTAAAAATGTTGGCGAAGTGGTCTTATTTCACTATCAATGTTTCTTTGAGCCTTTTTTTCCAGGGGGTGGGGAGCGGACACTGGCAAAAGTATTAGTTATACTGTAGACTTTCTTCGGGAGGAGGGGGGGGGGGGTAAAAATGATAGGTGCCAAATACCCAAATCATTACTTTTAAAAAAATCCCCAAAAGGCAAATTAAAAAAAATAATTAAATAAACAGTAGCCCAATATGATCACATTTTACCAGCTTATACGAAAACCAGTCTAGACAAAGTTAACTCTCTTATCTTTTGTTTTAGATTTTAGAGAATAAACACTTCTTTTTTTTTTTGGTCTAATACTTGGCTACTTTTTTCGCTATTGTTTGATACAGAAGCCAAACCCTCAATTTGATATGTCTATTTCGGAAGCAGTTGACTATGGTAAGTATACACTGGCTTATTAATTAGTATTGGTTAGATGTTCCTGTAATTAGGGTGACAGTGGCGTAGCCAGGAAGTGGTCATGGGAGGGGTTCAAACATTTTTCCTTATGTATAAAATCATATATATATATATATATATATATATATATATATATATATATATATATATATATATATATATATATATATATATATATATAATTATATATATATATATATAGAGAGAGAGAGGATATATATATAGGATATATATATATATATATATATATATATATATATATATATATATATATATATATATATATAGGGGTAGGGGTCCATGGGAGGGGTTATAACCCCCCTAACACCCCCCCCCCCCCCCCCCCCCCCTGACTACGCCGCTGTAATGTGATATGTTCAAAAAGCCCACTGCAAGAATATCGAGATATTCCTTGATCTCAAAACACATTGTTAAAGAAATAGAGACAAGGCAGATAAAATGCCTACGGTGGTGGGGACGCTAACAAAGCATTATGCTGCAGACTGTCTTCCAAGACTCAGAGATCACTAAAACAAATATTCTTACGAGTTAGATTCTATCGTTACATTTAAGTATAATAAAGGTTTAGGATACTCTTAAAACCTATACAGTTTTTTGAATAAGATCCATACAAAAAGACATTTTGATTTTTTTCCTCATGTTTATATTGTTAAGTTGTGCAAATCTGACAATATCTAGATTGTACTGCGCCAGAGAATATGTACAGTACGTGCTAAATGAATTATTATTTTTTCTTATTAACAGGGTTCCACATACATATGTGTATCATACATATATGCATCATATCTTTTCATATGGATGACATCGCTGGCACAATGCAAAGGTTGGACCTTATTTTGAATACCTATTTTAAACACATATGTTCATGTCAACAGAACGTCCCTGGTCTGTTTTGTGCCTCACTCACGATAGGTAAAATCAGAGGCGTAGCGACCCTTCACGGTACAAATTTTCAATTTGGCTCCCCCCCCCCCGGAGACAAACATTCAATTTGCGCCCCCCCCCCCATATATTTTTTATATTTATAATGCAAAACTGCAGCTAAAATGAGCTTTTAATTTTTTTCCAACCCACTTTGCGCCCCTTGGGGTCGGCGCCCGGGGATTTATGTACCCCGCCCCTCTCCACGCTACGCCTCTGGACCGTAAAATACACCTCACTCCCCTCAAAATGTCAGTAATAGTTGTTTCTAAAAACATTTTCGTTTAAAAATATATTTTCTGAGCTCGGTCATCTTTGAATATATTTAATAATTCCAATTTACAAACACAGTGTTTTTTTTTAAAAAAAAAAAAAACGTGAAATAACTGCTGAAATTTTCAAGTTTCTAACATTACTTTGAAAAATGCAACCTTTAAAAAATGCAACCTTAAGTTGTCATAAAATTACTCCCCCCCCCCTCTTTCTTCTATGGGTGTGTGACGTAATTGATGGACGACCATACATAAATGCTATTGTTTGATGTAATATTCTGACTTGTTACAGGAACGTTCAAAAAGTTTTTGAACAGAGACAACTGGAACTACGAGTTAAGCTTTACGGATAATATCCCGGAAGGCGAACAGAATCTTTGGTGGGTGAGAGACAGTTATAATTATAAAGACACCTTCGCTGACTGTAACATCGAGTCTCTGTACTGCTTAAACGCCCAAGAGGACAAGACGTGGCTCAGGGCTTGGGTTGAAAAATTGAGCAACAGGAAGCTGCGGTTCACTTTACTTTTGATTAACGTGACTAGACCCATGTTCGAAACCGTGAGGGGTAGCTGGAGACTGATCACGCACAAAGCCAATCCCAAACAACGTGTCTACTTCTCTCAGGAGATTCAAGTGAATGGTAGGTTAGCTATCTGATTGAGTTAGTAGTTTGCTTGCAAGATAGTAAAGTGTGGGGCAAGGGAAGTAGAGTTCAACTGTAGATCTCTCCCACTAGTCCATCCCCCATGGCTTGAGAGCTAGGAAAAACACGTTTTCTCATGTCTGATTTTAAAAAATAGTTGTATGTATTTTATGTATGCACTATGTATGTATATATCTTTATGCATACAGATATCGTAATTGTAATAGGCCCTCGCTTTAGGAATAGCTTATTACAAATTGCCTCTTTCAAATATTCAGTGTGCAGCACCACTTTATTTGTATATATATGTTGTACAATGGATCAACCTCCCTCCCCATACAGCTTATTGCCACATAAATAAATAAATAAATAAATAAATAACTAAATACATACATATATATATATATATATATATATATATATATATATATATATATATATATATATATATATATATATATATATATATGTATATATGTATATAATATAGAGCCAGTTGATCCAACTTGTAGTCTGAACTGGGCAATCGATGGACTGAACATTACCTGTACTTATCCAAGATTAATACATTCACTAAAGGTACTTTTTTTTCTAGCTTTGAATCAGTTTGAATTATCGTAGACTTTGGTAGTTTCTAAATTAATCGAGTTTAATAGAAAACGAAGAACAAATGTATTTATTTTTTACAAAAAAAACTATATATATATATATATATGTATATATATATAAATATATAATATACATTTACAATTGAAGAATAAATTATCTGGCATATTTTATTTCTTGTACAAATTTTTTTTGTCAGATGTCTGTGTGTTTTGGACCATCTAGCAGCAAATATTTGTTCCTAAATCACACCCGTCATGGTAATCTTTGTCACTTACTGGTCCCCAAAAAAGATTTACCTTTCGGAAGCAACAGCCTTGTGATCTACTTGTTCATACGCCTGAGGAACTCAAGCGCCACGCTGAGTTATGAAATAGAACATTCTTTTGTTTTAGGTATGGTTCATTTTTAGTGTAGGTTCAGATTTCTAACACAGAGAGTTTTCAAACGGAGCTTCACAATTATATATCTAATCATCAGCTTTTAATTTTTGTGCCTACGACAAAAAGCGCCGCCACAGAAAGCTCACTCCACTTTTGTCGGTGTTAGACAATTTTCCGGTGATCTGCTGGTGACGGTTGTTACTTTCTAGCACTCGCTAAGGACATTACTTTTGAAAAGTCTGCATTTGGCCTTGGAAGAGATTTTCTCAGATATAAATATTGGGTTTTTATTAAGTTGATAGTTTTTTTTTAAAAACTTCAGCTTAGTGATGCCGAAAGGTAACATTTACGACAAGTATTTTGATGGAGAAAAAAGATTTATCGGCCTGATAATTAAGCATGCATTGCGAACTAAACTTCGCTATATACTGATAGTAATTCCAATTTTACTATAATGCTCAGTGGCGTAGGCAGGGGGGGGGGGTTAGGGGGGGTTATAACCCCCCCCATGTACCCCCAATATGACTACCTTTTCACGTTAAGCTACAGCTATTGACTTGTGTCGATATTATTTAGGGCTTAAACACTAAACACTTAACCTGGCAGCCTCTAGAACAACAATGTATATCATTGTGATGAGAATTGCCTGTAGAATTTAGTTATGAATTTTATTATCGTGCTAAAGTTAAGTATAATAATCTGGAACGCAGTAGGCCAAGGGAAAGTTGGCCAAGGTTAGATCAGTTAAGGAGTGTCGAATGGGGAGGGGTGGGCTACGTGGGTAGGCCTTTGTTGTCTAATATGATTGTAGTGCAACCGGAAAGCGCCTAGAAATTTAAAAAAAAAAAAAAAAAAGGAATTGATTATTATTCGCATTGAGGTTCTATAATGTGTATGTTTTTACTACTTCAAAACATTTGAAATTCATTTCACTAATGGCGGATGAAACAGGGAAACTGAAAACTATTTAATTTTTAAAAAGATAAGTAAACTGAAAATGATAAAGATGGCAGAGGACACAAGGTTATCAGTTAAAGGGTGTGACAGGGGGGGGGGGGGTGAGGGGGGTTTGAATATGGGTACGTTTCAATTACTACCGGATGCACATCTGGCAGGAAAGCGTGGGCTGGACCCACAATTGTTGACACAAAACTTAGTGTTGGTAGATATAAAAACTGCGTAGGTGGTTAAATATAGATGTAGAGCCAGGAACCTACAGTAGTCATTTTTAGACGGTCAGAAAAGAAAGACCAATAATTATTTATTTTCTTATTCGCATAGTCGTGTTTTAATGTGTATCTTTTTGATAATTAAAGCAATTTAAATTCATTTTAATGATGTCGGATGGAAAAAGGAAATTTAAAACTACTTTATTAACTGATTTCTTTACAAAGAAAAATAAAACTGAAAATGATAAAAATGAAGATGGTACTATTGACTCTCAAACTACATTACATCAAGAAATTTCCATAAATTAAGCACCTTTGACTGTTTCTTATGCAAATGATATCGGCAATTTTATCAAAGGAGTTATTACAGATGATACACGGTTGTGTTTATTAGAAAACATCTGGCGTCCCGAAGAACTTTTTAAATTTCCAGCAAGCGGACAAAGAAATTTAAAGTTTCAATATTCGTGGCTACTTAGGTGGAACTGGTTGACTTATTCCAAATTACTTGATGGCGCATTTTGCAAATATTGTGTTTTGTTTAGTTTGAATTATGGTGGTGTAGGTAGTCAGCCTTTAGGTAAGTTATCACAAATTCCATTTTCAAACTGGAAAAAGGCAACAGACAAGTTTAATGAGCACCAGCAATGTGAATATCATAAAAGAGCAATTTTACTTTCCCAAAATCGTAAATCGGTTATGGAGAAAAAAATAGAACCTATTAACATCGCCTTGAACTCATCAGTAAGTCAACAAATTCTAGAAAATCGTTTAAGGTTAGCGCCCATAATAGAAACTATAATTTTTTGCGGCCGACAAGGTCTTGCACTTAGGGGGCACAGGGATTTCGGAAATTTTCAGTTGGAGGATCCTGACGAAAATGATGGAAATTTTCGAGCTCTTTTAAGATACAAAGCCATGGGTGGAGACGAAACACTTAAACATCATCTAGAAAATTCTTCAAAAAATGCAAGATACTTAAGTCCCACCATTCAGAATGAAGTGATAAATGTGTGCAATAAATTAATTGTTCAAAAGATTGTTGCGAAAATTACTTCTGTTAAATTGTTTTCTGTCTTAGCCGATGAAACTAGTGATATAGCTGGTATGGAGCAATTTTCGTTGTGTGTTCGCTACTATGATAACGACATAAAGAAAATAAGGGAGGATTTCCTACAGTTTGTAGGTGTAACTGATCTAACAGGCAAAGGACTTGCAAATGTTTTAATGGACACTCTAGCAAATTTACACATAGACGGTAATTTTATGATAGGTCAAGGATATGATGGAGCCGCTGCAATGAGTGGTCGACTTCATGGGACGCAACAATATGTTGCTGAGAAATTTGATTTGGCTATTTACGTGCATTGCGCATCTCACAGTCTAAACCTAGCACTTTCTGATGCCTGCGAACTACCAGCTGTGAGAAACTGTATGGGAATTCTTAATAGTACATACAACTTTTTTAACACACCAAAACGACAATCTTTGCTTGCAAATTCAATAGAGAAATTAACACCTAAAGCATCAGCATCTCGACTTAAACGATTGTGCGCAACCAGATGGATTGAGCGTCATGAGTCTGTCAACGTTTTTATACAGCTTCAAAAAGCAACTGTTGATGCACTGGAAATTATGTCATCCTGGCACGATACAACAACTTCTTCAACAGCGGTTCAACTTTTAGGAGCAATTAGGAGTCTTGAGTTTCAAGTTTCTCTTAGAGTTATCTCAAAAATCTTTGCAATAACACTTCCTGTCAGCAGAATACTCCAAACAGAAAACTTTGATCTATCTGCGGCTCTAAAATTTACAGAAGATTCAAGTAGCCTACTAGTGAATATGCGGAAGGATGCTGAATCAGAATTTACTACCGTATTTAATGAAGTCAAAGACATTTGTGAGGACTTCGACATAGATATACTTATTCCACGTCGAGCTGGAAAACAAATTCAACGCTGCAATGTTATGGCAAATACGCCTGAAGAGTATTACAGAATAGCTGTATTTATTCCTTTCCTTGATTCGGTTATATGTCAAATAGGAGACAGATTGCTAAAACATAAATCTGTTTTGAGAGGTTTTATGTGTCTTTTACCCAATGACTCGGGTTTTACCAAAGAACAGGAAAAGAATGCCATAATACTTATGCAAAAATATGAAAGTTTGATTAACAGCAGTGTCATCGATGAAAGCATTGGAGAACTGAAACTGTGGTGGCGCCACATTATTACAAGTGGAAATGTACCGCAAAACGCTCATCAAGCTTTTTTAATGTGTGACGTAAAAATATTTCCAACAGTACACAAACTACTGCAAATATTTGTAACATTGCCTGTAACAACTGCCGTTAGCGAACGCTCTTTTTCCACTCTCAGACGGCTAAAAACGTACTTGCGAAATACTACTTGCGAGGATAGACTAAATGGATTGGCATTATTAAATATTCACCGACAAATTGAAATTTTAGCGGATGAGGTTCTTGATGAATTAGCCAAGAGTCCAAGAAGACTTGAACTACGATTATAGGTAAGTAATGTTATAAGTACTTTTATCTGTTTGCTGTGTTCTAGTACTGTTATTGCGTCTATATATATATATATAAAATGCTGGAAAAAAATTGGAACCCCCCCCATGAGACGATCCTGGCTACGCCACTGATAATGCTAATTAAGCCAATTCTACCGCAAAACATAATTTGTCTTAACTAAAAAAGTATTATTATTAAAAACTCCGAGTAATATTTTAAAACACAATACTTTACTAAAATCTTCACTTAAATTTAAACAAACAATGAAACAAACATCACCAAACCAATACAAATTCAATTTTACATCTATTATTAACATCTTACTAACCATGTGTCAAAACATGTATTATACGTAGTTTACTCAATGTACTCTAAACCTAACTGTGAACACACATATTAACTTTCTCTAGAGAACCCACAGGTCAACAAAATAGCGTGCTCAACTTCGAACAACACACCTGGTCGTATTGTATGCACGTGCGCTAGAACAGACTCCAGTGACGTCACAAGCGAGTTCACCTGGCGAGTCAACAACCTGATACAACACAGCCAGCCCGGATTGGACATAAGTCAGGGAAGTCATAACTCCGTCTTCACGCTGGACTTATCGCTTTCATTCGGCCTACAAGGTACACTCGCTTCAGAGGAGGTTCTTTACGGCATCTCTTCGGGGAGGGGGGAGGGCGCAACCAAAGAAAAAGAAAAGAAATATTTAGAGAATATATACTTAAACAGGTGTCCGACACCTTCCACCCCCACTGGAAATTTAAGAGCACCCCTCTCAAAATTTTCAAGCCCCCCCCCCTTCTTGGAGAAAACTGTAAGAAAAAATATCATAATCTGATTGTTTCAAACGAATTTAAAAACGATTTTGTTTCCCTTCATGGGTCCCAACGTCTAGACATGTATTAAATCCGTCACACCCCCCCCCCCTTCCCGAAAAAGTATACCCCCCGAACGAAATGGAAGTTATGTAGAAAATATATACTTTTAACAGTGTCCGACCCCTCCCCCCTCCGCCCCCGGAAATGTTAAGTGCCTCCCGGAAAAAAAGTCTGGAAGAAACACTGCGTGTATACCAGTGGTATGCACAACACAATACTGTGTTGTGTATTTACCTCATATTGACCTTTAAATTTGGAATTGGTAAAACGATTTTGAGTTAGTTCTTTTCGTTGACTTTGGCGTATGTCATTAAGATGATCATCATTTTACAAACCTTTGACGTACACGACTAAAAATCGGGTACCCATTAGAGCTGGGTTATCTCATGGTCTCTCGATGGACTTAATCACCGGAACCAAAATTCAAAAACATGCTTTTTAAAATAAACCGGGAGTGATCTCCCCTAAACTTTCTCGAATATTCTTATATAAAACAACAGAGAATGGGAACTCGGGATATAGTTATGATTTTTAATCCATTTTAAATACTTAAACTTTTTAAAATAGAATAGAATCTCATAGAAAAAAGAATTGCGCACCAAGCGAACGCAAATAAAGATGTTCATAATAGTGCGCAATATTATTAGTACTCAATAAATTTACATGCGTTTTTTTGATAAATCGAAAGTAGCGTAAATTAGTAGTTCAGGTCAATGGAAATTACTCAAAATTCGACATATGGTAGAGAATTAGATCTTTTACTTACATGTGAAATTTCATTTATCTATCTGAAATAGTACTCAAGTTATAGGCTTTAAAAAAATTCAAAGTAGAAAAAGTACCACTTCCAGTTATCGGAAATCGCTCAATCTACGATTTTGATAAAATACTAATATATGAAATTTCATCAACCTAGCTGTAACGGTACTCACGTTATCGTGTTTACACACAGAGACAGACAGACAGACAGACAGACAGACACACAGACATATGGGCAAGATTGCAAAATTATGTTTTTCCGTATCAGTGAGGTGTTAAACGTCGAGATTTGAAAAAATCGATTTTTTTTTGCACGATTACAAGACTTTCTCTATACTTCGTATATACAAGAAAGTGAAAATTGTCCAAATTATAAGGCATGCTTTATTTTTTCCCCCCAGAAATATCTTGTCAGGTTAGTAACGTCTTTGGTTGGAAAAGTGGAGTCGAGGTGTATACACTTGACGAGAAAGGTACGTACGTTTTAAATTTGAGAGCAGTAAGTTTACTAAGGATAAGCGGTTTTAATAGGGTGGACCAAGTAAAGTTTCACGTTAAGCTGCAAGGACTATTCCAGAAATAAAAGCAACATTTGAAGACTGCTCGGTCCATAGCGCATTTAGGTGTCAGATATCATTTCTTGTTTCTAAACCGGTTTATCTCTTTCACTACGCCACTCTATTGGGTTCCTTAATTATTAGTTCGTAGATTAAGAATTAAGCACTTTTAATCTCCCGTAACACACACTCTCACACAAACACAAACACACACACACACACACACACACACATATATATATAATATATATATATATATATATATATATATATATATATATATATATATATATATATATATATATATATTACACACATATGTGTGTGTATTGATATGGACAGGATATATATATATATATATATATATATATATATATATATATATATATATATATATATATATATATATATATATATAAAATTTGCTTATACCATTGTGTTTCATACATTAAACAACCATTTTTATCATTATTCTTATTGAAATTCTACTTTTTTATCAGTACTATTAGCTACCACAATAAGAGAGTTGGAGCCAATGAGTGAAAATAATATCACATCGGAACATCTGACGGCCAGAGAACGCAAAGCAGCAAGCAAATGGCGTAGAACCGTCTTTGGTGTTTCGCTATGCGCTGTAGTCGTTTTGTTCTTTGTCATTGTGGTGGTTTTCTCTTGCAACAAAGTCACCACATATAAATGTGTGTCAAAATCGTTCTGCCGGAGGGGAGTCAACACTAGCTAGTTTTTTTTTTCACATGGAGTGCTACGTTGCTACCTTGAACCTCACATTTTTATTTACTCTTTCTTAGACATTTTTATAATCTTGTACATCTTATATTGTTTTATGTATACATAATATAGTAACCCTTGCTTTTCATTAGGGTTTTTAAACATGTTATTGTATATTATTTTTTAATTAGGATACGCTTAAGTTTTCTCAGCCATATATTATATATCTACATAACGAATCTCTTAATTGATTTTTACTATAGTTTAATACAGGTGTAAATAAAATACAATCGCTTAAAGACTTAAAAATGTAGATAAGACTATAACTTAGATCATAAACGAGGTACATTGTATCGAATGTATATACGACATGGGCATTACTTAAGAGCTTACACCAATGCTTAGCTTACTCAATTAAAGTTGTAGACTTCCGGTTTACGAGTATTTAAACCGATAACGAGGGAATCTCAACTTTTTATTTTCACCCTGCGCTGTGTCTTGTTGGCTCCTTGTGTCGGAGGTAGTTGTATATTCTTTTATTTGGATCTGTGTGTTTCAGTGGCGTCGCTAGGTCATGTGTCACGCAGTACCTCCCGGTGTCACCCCCGTTTTCTGTTTTTCACTGTAAATTTTGCAGTTGTTTTCACACCCTCTCCCGGTAAAAGCCTTAAAGTGTTTAAATTTAATACTCATGATGTTTATGTTTAGTCGTATGTTAATACAGCTGGGTGTAACCTTGATTTCTCTATGGTTTGCTTGTTTGTGTCAAAGGGTCAAGCACAGGCGTAGCGAACCCTCCCGACGCCCGAGGAAAAACTTTCAATTTGGCGCCCCCATATATTTTTTTATATTTATAATTTTAAAAAGCAGCTAAAATGAGCCCCCCCCCCTCCGTCGCTACGCCTCTGGTGTCATGCCCTCCTCACTTGTCGGAATCATAAATTTGTACTTAACAAACTGTAATTAATCATTCAGTGAAATGGCAAAAAATATTTTTTTCTAAATATCTTGCATTTTTTGTCTTGTTGTCCCCCCCCCTACACCAAAATGGTGTCACCTGGTGCGGTCCGCACCCCCCACCTCCACCTCGCGACGCATCTGGTATGTTTTGCGTTGTTTAAGTTGTGTAAGTGACTGTCGATATTTCTCGTTTATTTTCTTTCGACCAAAACGAGGTTGTAGATATCGGCAGGTCAGATACACATGTGGTGTGTGTTGATATGTGATTTAAAATTGAGGTGTGATTAGTTTTTATGTAAGTTTCTGAATCCGTGGTGCTGTCTTTAGGGTATTTTTCCTACATTTTGCAAAATGTATTATTATTATTTTTATGCTTTGTTCAATTTTTTTGTGGGTTTCCCCACTCTGTTTTGTTAGTTTAGCTTACTAGTTTGGTTTTAGTGATGCTGGGTTAAGTCTTAGATTTGTTTTCAATCCCAGAGTTTTAGTGTCTTTAAAATTAGTGTGTTATTAGATTTATTCAGTCTAAATATTTATTGGTCTCCCTTCGTTGAGGAATGTGTTTGTTTATTTATGCCTTATGTTTAGTTTGTTAATAATGTATTCCAATTGTGCTGTACGTTTAATTACTGGTTCTATTTTTTTTTGTACATTAAAATTTACGTTTAGTTGATTATCTTTTTTTGTGTGTGTTAGACTAAGGTTAGGAGTAACCAGTCTGGGTTTAGCCAGACTTGCACTGAGGACCCAATAGTTAATTCTAAGCGTATGGATTGGATTATGATATATATATATATATATATATATATATATATATATATATATATATATATATATATATTAGATTATATATATATATATATATATATATATATATATATATATATATATATTAGATTAGATTATATATATATATTAGATTATATATATATATATTAGATTATATATATATATATATATATATATATATATATATATATATATATATATATATATATATATATATATATATATATATATAATATCTTTATCTCTGCCCGTCACATAATGAGAGTATTTGTCTTATAATTTGGACAACTGTCCAAGTAACATATGGAACGGGTTTTTGTTGAACTGATTTTTAAAAATTGAATCATATATAAAACACATTTATTTGCTATTTTTTTAGCTGTTTGAAAGAATCGCTGGCGTAAAGTAAAAATTATATGTATAAATGTAATAGATTTTATTTGCGAATTTTGTAATTTACTCACCATAAAAATCTAAAAAATCAGATGAATATGGATTCCTGATATTTAATTCATTCCGCATTAATGTAATATCCGAACAAATAATGACTGCCAAGGTTGGTATTATACTTTTGTTGATTTAGCCCAGTTTTGCCATTTTAGGATAAGTACTGTAGTTTAATTGTCCTGCACAGACTGACGGACGGACAGACATAAAAACAGACGAAACAAGTAGGCAGACAGTCAAGACAAACAGATGAAAAAAAAACGGGAATTTTTTTTCATGAAATCACCATTTAAATGTCTGTTGTTAAATGTTATGGGAAATTCCGAAAGGAACTTTTTTATTTTGGGTTTTCCCGCAATCATAAAAGGAAATTTTCCGATTGACAAGATTGCAATGGATGATGATAGCGATGAAGTGAATTACGGTAATGGACAATAAATTTAACATGTTTAAATAGTGATCTTTCTTACTAAAATATCATTTTATTTAGTATGACGGTATGATAGTTATTTTACAGTGTTTTATGATAGTTAACACTATTTTCAAAGAAGTGTTTGATAAATCTAATCGCGTTTGTGAAAATTACTGAATAAAATAAGCAACATCTTTTAAAATTGCCTAGCGAGTTATCTTTACATAATTATATACAATTATATACAATTATATACAAGTAGATACAATTAGATATAACACAAAAAAACACACACAATGTACTAAACGTGTGTCTAAGTGTTAAATTCACATATTTTTAACCCTGTGTCATATCTCAGAGGCTGAGTGTTCAGCTGTTGAAATCAAGTTGATCCGTCTACCTAACGGCTCGAAGAGGTTAAATGTTGAAGTTGGTGTAAGGAGAACTATCAGGGAGGTGAGACCTACATTACTCTATGTCGTGTGGGTGAGACCTACATTACTCTATGTCGTGTGGGTGAGACCTACATTACTCTATGTCGTTTCGGTGAGACCTACATTACTCTATGTCGTGTCGGTGAGACCTACATTACTCTATGTCGTGTCGGTGAGACCTACATTACTCTATGTCGTGTCGGTGAGACCTACATTACTCTATGTCGTGTGGGTGAGACCTATATTACTTTATGTCGTGTGGGTGAGACCTACATTACTCTATGTCGTGTGGGTGAGACCTACATTACTCTATGTCGTGTGGGTGAGACCTACATTACTCTATGTCGTGTGGGTGAGACCTACATTACTCTATGTCGTGTGGGTGAGACCTACATTACTCTATGTCGTGTCGGTGAGACCTACATTACTCTATGTCGTGTCGGTGAGACCTACATTACTCTATGTCGTGTGGGTGAGACCTACATTACTCTATGTCGTGTGGGTGAGACCTACATTACTCTATGTCGTGTGGGTGAGACCTACATTACTCTATGTCGTGTGGGTGAGACCTACATTACTCGATGAGACCTACCCACTTATAAGACGTGGTTTCTGTGTTGTGTGTGTATGTATGTGTGTATTTTTACGACACAGAATTAGGTGTGTTGACTGACGAATGCCGCGTTGTCGAAAGAGTAAGAATATAGGAATGTATTATATAGTGAAATGCAAGTCAATGATAAACAAGCTGTTTTATTGGAAATATGGCACGGCGTGGCATAAGCGGTACAGCGCTAAGCTGCTAACTCGAAAGTCTCGAGTTCGAATCCAGGTCCAAATCAATAGAACGTCCCAGAGTCCTCCCAGCTCTGATGGGTACCTAACTCACGTTAGTGAAAAAAAGGCTCATGGGCAAAGTGCTGACCACACTATCCCTTCATATGCTGAAGTCCAGAAACATATGATCTCTATTTCATCTACCCAATGGATCTAAAGAGGATTTTTTCTTTACTTTACTATTGGAATTAGCTATGTATGTTAGTTTTTGCTAGTAAACATGTTCTGATTTTGCATTTTTCAAATGTGTAACAGAGGTTTTATGTAATGTTTTGTACTGAATAGCCACCTTCCGTTTCACCTAAATCAGCATATCACGTTTGTACCTACATGTTAAATTACACGTTTATCTCAGATAAAAATCCAGTATTTACGAGATTTCGGGATCAGCGAGGACGAGCACAAACTCTATGGTGTCCTGTTACGTGCCCACGGCAGCACCCAGATCCTGGAAGAGGACAACCTTGTTGCGTTCTACTTGACTGAACTTGCTGATGATACGGAGTTTGAGATTTTTCAAATTTAAGCTTTAAGATAAAATTTCATTTTCTATGTGTAATGTAATAACATAGAAAAGTTGGAAATTCGTGACAATGTAAACATTGCTAACCGATTTCATGTTTTAAATTGTGTAGTCGTGTTGTTAATTTCTTACACTTAATTTATCAGAAGATTAATAGACTAATACATTATCGTTTTGATTTTGGGATTAATTAATTAATGAAAGTGTATTTTATACTCAATTAGAAATTGACAGTGGAATGTTTTTAAAGCTACTGTTAAATGTAAACGATTGTAAACCGTTTTTAATTATTTTTTTTAATGTTATCTAAGCTTACATTGCAGTAAGTAGTATTGATTTTAACCACATTACTGGATAAGCACAGTTTTACAACATTCATGTGTAATAATATACAACACCAAACAAAACATCTACAAGCAACCATATCAAACAGCTTGTTAGTTCAGTGATTCTAAAACAATTCGCATTTTTAAAAAAATATTTATCTTTAAATGCGGACATTAATACATTGTGTACAATGAAATAAAATAAATTTAAAAATATAGTTCATGTAAAAAATAGCTTTAATGCTTACTTTGAAATATTTAATCAATTAAAATATACCATCCGTTTAATTATAGCTACATGTACAAGTTATCAAAGTTTTGAATTGTCATCACAACACATTGATAGGCCGGTCTATAAATAGACTTATAAATAAACCTTAAGGTTTCTATTTTTAACTTAGTGTATTAATGCTCCTGTTGTATTTTTGACATTATTTATCAAGACCCATTTTAATTCGCATCTGTTCTTGAAGTTAGGATTTTATTTACCTTTAACAATCTTTTGCCTGTAGTGGTATCTTTTGCATTAGGCTGAACATAGTCTTTTTAAGTCGTTTTTTTTAAAATAATTTTAAATAAAATTGTGTGATCGAAATACATTATTATAGTGTTAATCTATTTATTTGGTTTTTTTTTTTGTTTAGTATATGAAATTCTTTTTCATACATGTGTTTTGTAAATTAGTGTATACCACTAAAAGTAGATGTTTAAGTGGATATTTGTGTGAGTAATGACCGGTTAGTATGTTTAAAATGGATATTCAAATAGATAATTTACAGTGAGGAACTTCATTTATGGATATAGATGTGGATATCGGTCAGTGAGCTGTTCTATTTGTGATGTAGGCCCTACTTGGATAATGGACAGTTTCTATTTTGTTTAAGTATTCGTTCACACTGATAAGTCTGTGGGCAAAAATATTACATTGATATACCCAAATATTTGAACTGCTTTTGTTCAAAACTGCATTAAACAAATGTAAGTATTCATTTTTTAGAAAATAAACATCTTCCTGCTTTTAATAACCAAATTTAGATATATTTTCTGATTTGTTACTGTTCATAAAATGTTATTTCCATTATATTCAAGCAATAGGTCGCGTGGCTATCTTAATTTTGAAAAAAATATATACTACGATGTTTTTTTTTTTACAAAACGATTTCTGAATGAGAGTAGTAAGATGTCGCAAAAAGTTTTCATATAAATCGACAATACTGAAAGATGGACATTATCAATGTCGTAAAGGGGCGTGGTAGAGCGCTCGACTGCTAGCCCAAAGGTGTTAGGTATGGATGTCGGTCTAGACTTGTGATTAACTGACGTCCCTGGCGGCTGGGATTAGTGGTGACCACACTATCTCTTCATATGACGAGGTTATAGAAACAGGTCAACTGATCATGGTCCGCCATGGAATATATAAATCAATACAGGATTGCTTTAATATTACTAATAAAGGATTGGGGTAGGGGGATCCGAACTCGAGAATTTCTGGTTAGCAGTCGTGCACTTTACCTTTCGACCACGCAGATTCCTAGTGTACGACAAATCAATTTTACCTTTCTGAATTCTAATGAATGGGTGGATAAAAAATGACAAAACAGGTAAATTAGACACACATTTTCTTGAGTTAAAAAATAAATGAGTGCTTTATTTATCAATTTTACAGCAATTTCAGATCAATTCGTAGAAAATGAATCGTACATAGAATTTTGAGTAAAATACGTTAAACCTTTCTGTGTAAAATTATTGGCAATATTTCCAGCAGACATCCAGTTTCACGTTATATTTCATCGGCGCCGTTTCCTCCTCTCTCTGCGGTTTTCAGACAAATGACGAACTGTGAAATGAAAATTACGTTTAATATTAAATACATTCATTTATAAAAATGTATATTACAAAAACCGTTCTTATTACATTTGGTAGATTAATAAGAAACAAGAGTAAAGTATTTATAATAGGTAATTATAGAAACGCAGATGTAATAAATACCATTTACAGTTAAAGCTATAACTAAGCAACACCTATGGTATCGATTACTTTGAAAATGCAATAATAACTATGCTTTTTTGTCGGCTTGTTGCTAGCTAAAGATTTAAACTAGAAAATCCATATTCGTGTTTTAAAAATGTAACTTTGCGTTTATTATACCGCGTTTACACTTGCGACATGTATACTATACATGTCTAGAAAAAAAAACTTCGCAATAAGTGAGTAGGCTCCCCTATTATCTTAAGCCATATAGCGAAGTTTTTTTTATAGACATGTATGGTACACATGTCGCAAGTGTAAACGCGGTATTATAAACGTTCGCCGTGCAAAGCCATAGGCCTATTTGAGATGTTTCACATGGGAATTCCCGCTGTCATTGCGTGGACTGAGCTATTCTTGCTGTTCGATATCGAAGTAGGTAACTCGTTTCTGGTTTATTTTCATTCCTACTAACCACTATCGTAATGTGCATTGAACAGGTACGTTTTATAATTTTTAAATTATGAAATCAGATGATGTCTTTAAAAAGTTGTCAAATATTTTTTAGTAATTCAAATGAAAAGATCTAGATTTTTGTATCGCATTATTATTTTAGATTTTTTTTTAAATAGCAGTTATGTTAGCCCCACCACAAAGTTTGTAACATAATACGATTGGTGATGAAATGAGGAAAATGGAAACGTTATATACGCGTAAGGTCACTAGAATTTTGTCTGTGTGTTGGGGTAGGGAGGGGGGGGGGGGGTAAATGTGCATGATCCACTAATTGGTTACGAAATGGATTTAGTCTTTAAGTAATAATACCGTGAGCAATAATTTTGGATTGTATCTTGGATTAATATGGATTAATACGGATATAAATTATAAAAACTAGATTGTAATATAAATATTGAAAAGTCAGAAGCCCTCAGAAGGGCTTATTTAAGATTAATGTGTTGCTATTATGGAAATCTAATTCTAACTCTGAACCAAACCTTAAGCATGACTGACAAAACTCCTCTCCTGCTCCAGCTTGTACCCTAACTATAATTTTGATACTCTACAATTTTTCTTTGACTAGTACCCAATAAACCGACTAATAAAACATCCAATTTTTTTAGAAGCGCCCATAGCCTGATGAACTTAAGAAGTAGGCTTACACCAAATTAAAGGAAACATTAGCTTGTTATAAATTCTATTTTTACAACACCAAAACTGTATAACTTTTTGAATCTTAAAAAAAAAACAACAACAGAAATTTGAAAACAAACAGATAATCTGCACTAATTTTTAGACAGCAACCTAGTATTCTGAATATTTCATTAAATAAATAATAACCTTAGTTAACAATGTTCAAAATGGCGTATGCAGAACCGGGGTGTCTGGGTAAAACATAGATCTAAGCCCGATGTACGCATGCGCAGTAGAGAGAAAATATTAGTTTTTTTTTTCCTCCCTGTGCAGTTATTCTTGCAGTCTAGCCACGGGCCGAATGGTCGGAAGGTAGTTCGTTTGCCACACACATTTTGTGAAAATAAAATAAGTCCTTGCTGAAAAAAAAATGCAAAGGCCTATCCTCTCCGAATATTCCGTTTAATTTTAAAGCAAATACTTTTTCGACGCTCTCCAACAACAATCTAAAAATAATCTGTAATGTAAGATGTAAGGATAGGGTATTCCCGGTATTTCATGTTACTAATAATAAAAGTTTTGTATTTTTCTGTTATGTTGTTCAAGTATGGGGGGAAAGGGGGGTGGCGTGCGGCTTTAGAATGTCAATAACTAATAGTGTAGTACAAACATTAAAATCCGTCCGTTTCTTTTCATAAAACGATAATTTTATCAGAATATTAAAGAGAATAATTAATCAATCTATATGTCGTAAGAAAGGTAAGTTATATTCGTTTGTTTAAAAAAAAATTAAAATCGCTGAAAATTTTATGACACCTTTACAGAGAGATCCTTCCCGTTTACAATGGTGTGGTAACTATGATAAATAGACTCATTAGCTAGATTATATTATATCATCATCATCATCCACACCCTTTACCTAAGATCTCCAGACTCCTCTGTCCCGCGTCATCTTCTCAACCTGACTCCAAGTGTAGTCCATCTTTCTCACGTCAACAGGTGTTTCTTGGTCGACTTCGTTTGCGCTTACCTTGCGGGATCCAAATCTCAATGCCTGTCTTGTAATACTGGATCGATGTCTGCGCAGTGTGTGCCCAATCCAACACCATATTTTTATTGATTTCTTCATCAGCAGTCAGTTGTTCATATGTTTACATTGCTGATGGTGTCGTGTAAGCGGATCCTGTGTATTTGTCTGAGTAAGCTGTTCATAAAGGTCTGTACTTTATCAATGGTGGTATCTCTAGCAGCCCCCAAGTCTACGATTTTATATTGGAATTAAACAGGTGCACATTGAGAGTACAGGGGACGTAGTGGCCTAGCGGTAGAGAGCTGGACTGCTAACCCGTAAGTCTCGAGTTCCAATCCAGGTTTAAGTCAGTAGACAGTCCCTGAGGCCACCCAACTCTGATGGGTACTTAACTCAAGTTAGGGAAAGTAAAGGCGGCTGGGCATAGTGCTGACCACGCTACCCCTTCATATGCCGAGGTCACAGAAACAGGTAAACTCTACTTCACTTGCCCCACTTGGACTGTCAAGTGTGGAAGGCGAACTTTACTTTTACTTTACCTTGAGAGTATACCTTATACCTAGTAAAATAAGCAGGGGGAAGGTAACCATCTTAAAGAGGTCGTAAGCTAGTGATCGGGTTTTAAAGCCAATATTTTTGACGTATCTCATTTTTTAAAAAAAGTATAATTGTATGTTTTTATTTAAATGCACCTAAATTTAAAAAATGCATAAAAACGTTTCAATATCAAGCTTTTATGTAATAATACACTAAAAAGAAGAAAATAAATGATTTTCCTTAAAATGTATAATAATATACTACTATTTAAATAACTGTAAAGAAAAGTGTGGGTCATTTTAATATGTATTGTAATGTAATAACTTGACTAAGATTTAAGAAGCCACTCACGCTTTCTTTGCAGTAGTTTAAATAGACGTGTATTGTTAAATCTTTAAAAAAAAACCATTTATTTTCTCTTTTTGTTAAATTATTACACAAAAGCCTATTAATTAGAACATATTTTTATGCATTTTTAAAGCTTATTTTAAAAAGTTTTTTTTTTATATTTGTTTACTTTAGAAAAATAAACTAGCTGGTCAGCTATAAGCACTGCTCCAGCTATTGGCACTCATGGCCTGCTACACATCTCTAACCACCAGCCCTGAACTCCTTACCCGGGGTCTTTTCTTTAGCCTTTTACAATACAAATGAAAGAATATTCAGGAAACACCAAAGGTCAAGATGGCAAAAATAAATGCAACCCCATTGAGCGTGGTGGTGTTGACAAGCCTACTGGCTTGTCTTCTGCTAATGTTTAGAGGTTCGTGATTATTTTTTAAAGATATAATTTAATAAACACAGCTTTTAAATTAAAATTTAAAAAAAAAGTCTTCTCAATCAAATATTTTTCGCTTGTTTAAATTCATTACATTTATGCTTAGCGGTGGGACCTATTTATTATTTAAGTTTGTGGTACTTAACATTTATTTAGCCAAAAGACGAATTATTTTTTGTTTTACTTATTGTTTATTGTTCTGAAGTTGATGTTTTTCATTTGCTAGGAACACTGGCGAGTAACGTTATATTTGCCGAAGAAGGCAAACCTTTCCATTGGAACCACACGTTGGATAAACCCATTGCTGACACATGTGCATGGTATCACAACGAGGTTTTTATTATTCAAGTCAATTTACCTGAGGGCAATGGCACCGTGGATTGCACCACTTACGATAAAATTAATTGGGTTGAATCACAAGGTGAAGTAGAAAACAACAAGCTATTTATTAACCTAAATTTCATGAATATATCGAGAGATTCAGCGGGAACATTTACTTTTGGATCTCACTACGCAGTGAAACGAACCACATATTTCTACTTTACTTTGAAAACTTATGGTATGAGTTTTTTTTCTACTGCTATTTGGCGTTGTTTTTCTTATCTCTTTTTATTAAATTGTACCTGCTTTTTCTGGTGACTGAAGTTTTTAAGTTTATCGAAAGTTTGATGTAAGTGTTAAACACTGTACTTTGCTTGGGTGGATATACACATAAATATTAACTTAAATAACCTAATATGTTACTTTTAAACTACACTCTTATATGATGCCAAATGGTGATTTCCTGAAATATTTTTAGAAATAAATCCAAAATACTTTAATTCAAAGAATTAATTTTATTTCTTTTGGCATACGCAACAAATAATGCGGAATGTAATTAGAAGTTCTTAGGATTCGGGCCGGTAAATCTCGTGGTTAAAAAACAACGGGCCGAGTTCGAACCTCTCGGGCAGTTGAGACTCAGTAGCTGAGGACAGCCTGTTACTTAGGTGAGACAACTCCAAAATCAAACAACTGCTGCCTTGTAGTTTGTTCTTGGATGTACAATGGGAAGTAAATCCAGAAATAAAAACAGGCTGTAGTCGGCGTGAGCCATTTGGTGCGTAACATGTTGATACGCCACATTTAATGGTGTAGGCGGAAAATCCCATCCGACATTACAGTTAAGAACAAAGAACGTAAATTATATATAAATTTAATCAAATATATATATATATATATATATATATATATATATATATATATATATATATATATATATATATATATATATATATATATATATATATATATATATATATATATATATATATATTAAATGTACAAACTGAGCTCATTTTTCAGTGCCACCTGAAAATATAAGCGTTGGTACTACATTGTCATATTATGGATTAAATATTTCCTTACACTCTTCAAGGACGTATCCGAAAGCTAAGGTATAGTAGGAGTTTTTATTCAAAATATGCTTTGTTTGTTTATATTAGTTTTCTAAAATTTCTCGTATTAGTAATACATTATATTTATATTAAATCATATTCACGTATTTTCCTTAATCTACAAAGACTTTACCTGTGTAGTCATGCATTTTTTTGTGGCGGCTTAACTTAAATATGATATTTTATAAAATTATCAGATTACAAAATAATAGACTTTTAGTGATGAGGTACTAACAAGTGTTAACGTTTTAAAAATAAAAATGACATAAAATTCCTCTACACAAGAATTGTCTCTCGCTAGTTAATAGAAAAACCACTTTCCACTCTTGGTAAATAATTTTAATTTACGGTTTTTAAGTAGAGGTCAAACATTGCCATTCTGGTTGGGTTTGTGTATCTAGAAATCCTTCTCAGAGGCGTCGCTAGGTCGGGTGTCACCCGGTGCGGCACCTCTTGGTGTAACCCCCCCCCACCAAAGAGGGGGTAAGGTATAGGTTATATATATATATATATATATATATATATACATATATATATATATATATATATATATATATATATATATATATATATATATAATTTCTAGATGTCAGCAACATTGAACAACGTCACAAATCGATCTGGCACGTGCTTCAATCAAGAAGTGTTCAGTGGAGACACCTACTACACAACCACGTGTAACCTGTTCATCGAACGAGGAGAGCTCTTCTCCAACGAATCTATAATCACCGTGAAGCTGAGCCCAGACTTTAACGACGACCAAATTAGTCTTGCGAAAATTGCGTCCCTTTCCACTATTGTACACACTATTACGTACAGTATGTGTGTTTTTTTTTTTTAAATAAGTGATTCATTGTACTCGTAATGGCGTGTTTGAGACTACTTGAGAGAGAGAGAGAGAGAGAGAGAGAGAGAGAAAGAGAGAGAGTGTGTGTGTGTGTGTGTGTGTGTGTGTGTGTGTGTGTGTGCTTAATAAAAATTGTAAATTTAAAAATTAATTTTAATTTTCTTGCTTTAAATGGTATATTTAAAAAGAAAAAAAAAACAATTGTACAATGTAGATCTAGTATTGATTTAGAAAGACATAATAACAACAACAATATAACGACGGATCACCACTTATTAGTAAAAGGGCAGTCAGTCACTTGTAATGCCACGAATTTAGAAGTTTTTTTAGTCATCAACACAAAACTACTTGAATAAGCACAAACAACATTGGAGTTACCGTCCCTTTCAGTAAAAATTTACCCACGTCCTTCCCGCAGGTCCGCCGAAAACCAACCTCAGCTGTAGCGAGGGGACAGGGGGGTCACTCACCTGTACCTGTCACCGTGATGACCCCAGCCTGGCGCCCGCCGACCTCCACTGGACCATCAACAACGACACCACGTCCGTCCAGAACCTCACCGTGTCTCACCCTGATGCCAGAACTTCCGTTATCTCATTCTCTCGATGTCGTGAGATTACGTGTGAGTTCTACAACTATAAGTTCCACTCTCCATA